CTCCTCCCCCACAAAAAAACCAAAAAGCATATTCAGTAAATACATTGTTGAAGGTGGACCCTGAGGAGAATCTAGGTAAGCAAACCCAGACACTGCATTTCAGTTCAGAAAGTAGAACACAGTCTAGTGAGAGACAGAGTTAATTAAATAATCCCACAGGTGAGGAAATAATTACAGACTAGGGAAAGTTAGGTAAATGGAAAGAATCAAAATTCTATGAAAGCAAAACAGGGGAACCCAATATAGACTGGGAATGGGGATGATCAGGAAGTTTACACAAGGATGTGAAGCTTAAAAGAAACGCAGGGGCTCAATGAACTGGTGAAGAACATGCAATGGAAAGATGTTGGCTGTTCACACGCCACACTAGGGAAATAGCACGTCCTGAGGCTGTGTGGCCAGGAAAGCCTGGCAAGTATGCCAGACAGAGCAATCTCAGTGAAGAGCATAAGGGAAATGGAAGACAAAGGTAGACAAGGTCAAAACAAGTAGGGTTCTGTGGACCACATGGAAAATTCTTTATCTCTTGAATAGTGGGAATTCATGGAAGAGTTTTCGAACTTAACTGAAGAATAACATCATGAAATAAAATGTACAACTCTTGGGGCTGGGGATGTGGCTCAAGCGGTAGCGCGCTCGCCTGGCATGCGTGCGGCCCGGGTTCCATCCTCAGCACCACATACAAACAAAGATGTTGTGTCCGCCGAAAACTAAAAAATAAATATTTTTAAAAAATGTACAACTCTTCAGCATACAATTCAACACATTTATATATATATATATATATATATATGCATATATACGTGTCACACTGTGTGACTTTCACTCAGATCAAGATACAGAATATTTCCATTATTACAGAAAGTTCCTTCATGTCCCCTTTGAATCATATCGCTCTTTCCCACATGACGAAACCACAACTTCTTTTTTTTTTAATTTATTTGTTCTAATCAGTTATACATGACAGTAGAATGCTCTTCAATTCATTATACACAAATGGAGCACAATTTTTTACTTTTCTGGTTGTACCCAAAGTAGGGTCACACCATTTGTGCAATCATACATGTATCTAGGGTAACGATGTTCATCTCATTTCACCATGTTTCCTACTCCCATTTCCCTCCTCCCACCCCTTTGCCCCATCCAAAGTTCCTCCACTTGTCCCATGTCCCCCCACATTATGGATTAGCATCCACTTATCAGAGAAAACATTCAGCCTTTGGTTTTGGGGGATTGGCTTACTTCGCTTAGCATGATATTCTCTAACTCCATTCTACCTGCAAATGTCATGATTTTATTTTCTTTTGTTGTTGAGTAATACTCCATTGTGTATATATACCACAGTTTCTTTATCTATTCATCTATTGAAGGGCATCTAGGTTGGTTCCACAGTTTGGCTATTGTCAATTGTGCTGCTATGAACATTGATGTGGCTGTGTTATTGTAGTATGCTGTTTTTAAGTCCTTTGGATATAGGCCAAGGAGTGGGATAGCTGGGTCAAATGGTGGTTCCATTCCAAGTTTTCCAAGGAATCTCCATACTGCTTGAGGAAACCACTATTTCTGACTTTTATCACCAGATTGTTTTTGTCTAAACTTTGTTAGTGGAATCACAGTTTACACTTTTTTTATATCTTACTTTTTTCATTTAGTGTCTATGAGATTCATCTGTGGGGCTGTATGTTAAAAAAAAAGAAAGGGGGCTGGGGTTGTGGCTTAGTGGTACAGCACTCACCTAGCACGGGTGAGGTGTTGGGTTTGATCTTCGGTGCCCCATAAAAATAAATATAAAAAAATAAAATAAAGTTATAAAAAATCTTAGAAGGATTTGACTCAGAAACGAAACAAAACTTAAAATCTTAGCAGCTCTTGAGTCCTGGGTTGAGTTGAGGATTGTGGTTATTCAAGTTAGGTGCATACTTGAAGGGATACCTGCCAATATGCTCACCCCTAACTCTATTTTATGCTCAAATGAGGATCCCTTTTTTTTTGCTTTTCCCCATTGCATGGAAGTATTTCTTCCAGAAATCAAACACAAATCAACTTCAGCCAGTTTCTTGCCGAATTAGAGGGTCTTCCTTATGCTTCTCTAGGACACGCTCAAGAAATACTTGCTCAGTGAGTAACCAGAAAGAAGTTACTGTGGGGAAAAAAGATGACTTCATGGAAGTAAAATTATTGTTTTAGGGCTGGGACTATAGCTCAGTGGCAAAGCACTTGCCTAGCATGCGTGAGGCACTGAGTTCAATCCTCAGCACCACATTAAAAAAAATAAACAAACATACAAAATAAAGGCATTGTATCCATCTACAAGTACAAAAATTAAAAAAAAATTATTGTTTTAGCTCAAGCATAATGGAAGGAATGATAGTTCTATATTTTTTAATGTATCTAAGTGGGCAATAGAGTTGTAACCTTATAATACTATCTTCATCCATAATTCTAAGATCCTTAAAAGTCTATGAGTTAGACCTCTTAGTGGTTGTTTAGTTCCTTGGCCTTTATTTTCTTTCTTTATTACTGCCTTTAAATGGCAATGTTAAAAAAACTTAAAAAGTCTCTTAGCTGTGTGACCTTCAAGGCTTAAGGAATATGTAATGATCAAAACCAACAACCTTAGCTGAAAAAGACATCTGAAATTACTTTTGCAAATGACAAGGATTATTATTACTATAAAATCTTAGTAGTGATTTCATTCACTGAAACGTTACTATCATTAATGCTTTTTGGTTTTACTATGTGAGAACTCCATAACTCTGATTGTTTTAATCGGCATGTAAAAGCTTATAATTCCTTTATATTTAAACACAGGGACCCTTCTAAAACCTCTACATTGGCTTTTTGGATGATTATTAAGATGTTACTAGGCCAGGAGTGGCAGTGCACATTTATAATCCTAGCTTCTTGAGAGACTGAGGCAGAAGGATGGCAAGTTTGAGGACAGCCTGGGCAATTTAGGGACCTGCTCTCAAAATATAGAATAAAAAGGCTGGAGATGTAGCTCAGTGGTACAACATCTCTGAGTTCAATGCCCACCATTACCAAAAAAAAAAAAAAAAAAAAAGATATTACTGGGGCTATGGTTGTGGCTCAGTGGTAGACTGTTTGCCTAGCATGTGTGAGGCACTGGGTTGGAGCCTCAGTACCACATACAAATAAATAAATAAAATATTGTGTCTATCTACAACTAAAAAAATTTTTTAAAGATTGCTGTTTCACTCTTGCATGAGGTAATGAGTAATGACAACAGTTTCTCAGCATGCTTTTCTTTCCCTCTGTAAAATGGGATTTTTTTTTTTTTTTTTTTGATGGGAGGTACTGGGGATTGAATTTAGGGGCAGTCAACAACTGAGCCACATCCCCAGGCCTATTTTGTATTTTATTCAGAGACAGGTCTCACTAAGTTGCTTAGTGCCTTGCCTTTGCTGAGGCTGGCTATGAACTCAGGATCCTCCTGTCTCAGCCTTCTGAGCCGCTGGGATTACAGGCCTGCGCCACTGTGCCCGCCTAAAATGGGATTTTTAAAGTGATTGATACATTCTTTCTTTCATGTATAAAACGATATAGCGTGAAAAATATCTCCATCTGTCTTCCAACCCATTTCCACAATGAAAACTTCCCATTTCATGTAGGCTTCCACAAAATTTTATGCAAAGATATGTATATCCTTAAATATATTTCCCCTTTTTGGGTACAAACATTAACATACTATTCATCTTGTTCTTTTTTAACTTAGCACCTCATGAGCTGCTTCATCAGAAAAATGGGAATGAATACCTATTACCCAATAGGAGTAAGAGGGGTTTTATAATAATTACTGCTTTTGGTATATCAACTCCTTAAGAGATAGAAAGCCTTTCAGAGATCTGGGCTCCAATCCTGATTCAGCTGTTGGAAGATCCTAAGCACAGTGTCTGCTCTCTTGTGTCATTCATAAATTGCATAAAAGTGGAGAGCTGCTGTAATGATTAGGTCTCATAAAAGCAGTCAGTGCAATACTTAAGTACTTTCTGCTAGAGTTAAATAGACGTGGCTTCAAGACTTGATTTTTCTTTAATTATGTCCAAGTTTTGCAACACATTTTAAATGGGGCAAAATACTATCTTCTTTGTTTGTTGTTGGAAAAATTAAATGGAGGTAATGTGGGTAAATTAGTGTCTAGCATCTAGAAAGCACCCATTAAATAATGGTTGTACTCATATTAACCTATAAGTTAATGCTGAGTTGAAACTAAAAGTCTTTCTACTTAAATTACCAAGTTGTATTAAGGGATAGCTACAACCTGCTGTATTTTTAAAAGTGCGGTTTAAAAAAAAAAACTATATTTACTATAAATAACTGAAAAAGCCAAGTGGAGGTAGGGGGGTTAAAAAGCCTACAGCCTCCCTCACCCTTAACACTTGTGTAAATTTTATTAAAGGATCACAGGTATTCAGCGCTTGCTTGTTCGTGCCACTGAGTCAAGTCTTTAAGGGACTAAAGAGGGGAGAGGAGTGAGTGGGGGTAGTCTGTTAAAATGCAAGATGTGGCGGGTGCAGAAACTCGGCTGCTTTATTGGTGTAGCTTAGTCTCTTATCGCCTCTGGAGGACTTTTCTCCGGACACACTATTTCACAAAATCAGGATCAACCACCATTCACTTATTCGAAGCCTGTTTCAGCCCAAATAAATTGGGGGTGGAGAAGGCGGTCTTACCCCGGATGGGCGACGCCCTGAGTTCCGGGGTCCAGGCCAAGCCCGCCTCCTTCTCCTGCAGCGCCTGTAAAGCGGGACCCGGAAAATCGTGAGGCGCCGTGGGGCCTAGGCACGCCGAGGTCCACTGAGGCGTCGAGACACTCGCAGGGCGTTGCGGTCGCCCCTTTTGGCGGGCTCCGGCACCGCAAAGCTCCGCCCCCCGGCGCGGTACATCCGCACCCGCGGAGGCGGACGCCGCGCTCCCATTGGCGGAGCAGCTCGCGAGGCCCCGCCCCCTCCCGGCCCCGACGCGAGCACGTTGAGTGGCGGGGGCCGGCTTAAGAACTGCCCGTAAGAGGAGCGGCTTCAGGGCCAGGGCGGCACGTTTGGGCGCCTGCTTTGAGGCTCCCTAGAAGCTGCTAGGTCGGGAACGCGGTCCGCAGCCACGGGGGGAAGGGGGTGGGTGGGCTGAGAGCAGCTCGGCGGCGAGGCCGGCCTGCCGCCCCTTCCCCCCACGTCCGTCGACCTTGTGGGCAGAGGCTTCCCGGAGCTCCTCACGCCGGCGGGATGGCGACTGCGGCGGAGACGGAGGCCTCTCCGCCGACGGACGCGAGTTGGGAAAGTGGCGGCGGCGGCGGAGACGAAGAGATGAAGCAGGCGCTTCCGGACCTTGAGTCTTCCCCACAAAATGGCGGCGGCGGCGGCGGCCTCACCATCGCGGAGCCCAGCAGCGGCCCGGGGCCTGAGGAGACCACGGCGTCCGAGGCCGCCCAGAGCCTCAGCCACGAGCAGCCTCAGGAGTCATCTGAGACGGGCGCGGCCGCACTGCCCAAAGGCCCCGAAGAGCCCGAAAGGCCTGTTAGGAGGAGTTTTCAGATCCCCAGGAAGAGCAGAGAAAAGAAAGGTGGTGCCTCCCTTTCTCCCCAACCCCTCTTTCTCTCTCCCCTCCATCTTTTCATTAGAATCTCTCTGTCGCCTCTTCCCACACCCATCTGAGACACGTAAACATGCACGCAGCGCCAGCCGCCTCTCCCCTCACTGTCACGGCCGCCCAGCTGCTGCGCTTGGTGCGAGAGGAAAGCGGTGGAACCACGCTCCGCTGCTCCCCCTCTTCCTGGAAGTTGGAAGTAGCTCAGGTTTGAAGCTTCTCGGTAAAGCTGCAGCTCCCAGAGAGGAAAGATGGTGCTCGGCGCCCCTCCTTCCCAACCCCTGAAGGCAGAGAAGCTGATGTGTCCTCCTAAAGATGCTTCTGACAAGTCTCACTGTGGAAATAGCCCATGGCCATGGATTCTGGGGCTTTCTCCAAGGCCATTGCGTTCTGAGGACCACAAGTGTTTCTCCTTAAGAAAATTCTTCAGCTATGTGTCTACTTGAAATTTGCTTGATGTCAGCGTCTTCCCTTGTTTAGAAATTTGCATTAGTAGATGTGATCCATGCACACTGCTGTTTTCCATCACACTTCATTTTCATATAGGTTTTTTCCTTGTCTTTGAAGCATCAGATTAATAGTTTTTTAAAAAATTTTTAATACAAACAGTATTTATTTGAAAAGAAGGGGAAGGTAGGTTCTTGGTGCAGTAACTTCCCTATGGAGAAAAAAGAAATGAGAAGTTCACTTATGCCCAGTAGTCTCCAACATGGTTTTGAATTTCAGATTTAGTAAGTCCAGGCTTAGTTTTTGAAACCAGTATGGGAACAATTACATTAACTATGTTTACCTTTTAAAATCATAATGCCATATTATAAAACTTACAATGGAGATAAAATTAGTGTTGAAGTTTCCTGTTATTAGAGGATTATTTTTGACTTTCCAATAATTTTGGATATTCTAGATTTGCTTTAAAGTCGCTCATTTTTGCTCGATCGAGTAGATTTGCTTTAGAAATTAACTGGAATTTTTAAAAAAAATTTGAAGAAAGCTTTTTTGTTATTTAAATCGGTGAAAATTTAGAATCTTGACTGTGCATGCCTATAACCAGCTCCATTTGCACAACTTGAATTGTTAGAGCCCTTTATCAGTACAGATAAAGTTCATTTCTATTTGGATGACAAAGCCAAGAAAATCCTTGCTGTGAGAAACCATGTGGACAAATTTAATCTTTCCATTAACATGAGGAATGTTTCTAGAAAAATCTTTCAAAGTGAGTTAAAATAGTATTTTAGAATGTGGATTAAGATAGTCTATTCTTTTGGTGTATTTAGATAAGAGGTATGGTTATACTCAATATGAGAAAAGTTAGATGCTTATGAAATTGCCAGTTGATTGAAAATAGATTAGAAGTACATTCAAATGGGCTCAAGTTATGAGGGTAGAAGGTTAACATTTTTTCCCAACTTGATAAAATCATTTTGATTTTTTGATCATTTTAGGTTTTAAGTGTCTAAGAATATGAACAAACTACCATACCCTTTTACCTTTTGTTAGAACTGAAATACTGGCTTAGAAACCTTTACATTTTGGTTTGAAAGGTGGGGAGGCGCTGTGGTTGTCTTTAAACTGGATAAACCAAATCCAGAGAAAAATATACATCCCTTGAAAATAATTAAGGAATTCAGATATACAGACCCTGGATGCTTTCTCCCCGGAGTCATTTTAAGGGAAGTTTGTTTTCAGTCTTCACTTAGAAATAAAAGATTGTTAACCTTTCACCTGTAAAGGGGATTGTGTGTAAGGAAAATACTTCACAGTATACTTTTTTTCACGTTTAGTGAAAACGGTAATTTTTTTGTTTTAATATTTATACAGAGCAGAATTTGTTCAAAAAGTGTAACACCAGTTTAAATAGAACTTTTAAAAAAATTAAATAAGTAGCTATTACTACCATGGATTTTAAGCTGAGAGAAGTCAGTCCTTTAGTTTCAACTTTATATTGATAAAGAAAAGAGTGCAGGTACTGCTAGTTTCACATTTCTAGTATTATCTGGAAGACTTGTAAAGGTATCACTATGGGATTTGCCTAGGTATTATTAGTTGACATCTGAGTGTTTATTTTGAATATTAGGTTATTTTCAGTAGGTATGCCTGTTTGAGCTTTTTGTATCAGAAGCATTTGTATTTTAATATCACAAACCTTTGCTTGCAACTATGCTTTTCCAGTCAAATTAAGATTAGGACTTTAATTAAAAAAAAAACCTTAAAGGAAATACTATGTGAGTATAACTTGTCTTTTCTTGATCTTGGCAATAGCCTAAAATCTAAAATAACACCATTCTAATTGAATTAATAATATATATGGCAATTCATAGTGTTTAATAAATTATGGGCCTTGTTTTAAGCACTTTATGTATATTAACTAAATCTCAACGATTCTATTTGTACAGATGAGGAAAAAAGTATTGAGAAGTAACTTGTCATACAGCCAATAAATGGTGGAGTTGGAATTTGAACCTAGGTTTAGAGTACTTACCACTACTCAATGGTGTAACAAAGATTTGAGCTGGTTTTTGGTCTAACATGTTTGGGGAAAACATTTTTCCCCCATTAAAATGTAGAATACTAACATGTATTCAACCTTGGAGAATTTTGAGTTGGAAAAATTGTGTTTGCCATGAACATATTTAATCAGTACTGATTTGAATGACCTAACTGTTGACTAGAAGGGCATGTGTGTGTGTGTGTGTGTGTGTGTGTGTAAACACATTTTTTTAGTGTGTGTGGTGCTGGTGATTGAAGTCATGACCTCATGCATGCGGGCAAGTGCTTTATCACTGAGTTACAACTCCAGCCTTACTTTACTGTTTTTGATGTGTGTTATTTATTGGTTGAGCTACTTTCTGTAGTATAAAGACACACTGTCCTTACGTTTAACCAAAGTGTACAGTTGCATTTTGTTAGATGTTTACAATCACCATCTTTCTTTCTAAATTTAGTAAATTATTAAAAGTCACCTTAATTGGTATTTTTATTTGATAGTTTTTTCTACAAAGTTCTTGGGGAGTAGTGATGAAGTACTTTCTGGAAAATGTTGGTTACTTTTTTTTTTTTTTTGTAGGGGATAAGGGAATCTCAAATTAACTGAAGCTCATGTGCCAGTTTTTATACTAGTTTAGTCCAGTAGAGGTGATGGCTCATTTTCCTTCCAATCTCCAACTTTTCCCTCAAGAAACTTGCAATTATCTTTTTGAAAACACTGTAGACAGGTGGGAGTAATGGTATTTTGTGTGTGTGATTTTTTTAAAAAAAATTTATTTTGGTGTGGTATCAGGGGTTGAACCCAGGGCCTCCCATGTGTCAGGCAAATAAGTGCTCTACCAGGGGGTTCCCAGCCCTTTGTTAAAATATTGAAACTGGGTCTTGCTAAGTTGCCCAGACTACCCTTGAACTTGTGATCATTATCTTCCTGCCTTAGCCTCCCCAAGTAGCTGGGTCAGCCAAGTCTTAAGGAAGTTTAAGGGTGACTGCATTCTGGGAACTGCAGCTCTCCCTATATAGAAATAAGCCTGAACTGGAAAGTCTAGGCAGAACCTAGTCATTCACATAGAACTTTTTTTTTTTTTAAACAGGCAAAGTCTCTTATTTTTTTAATATGTGTTTTTTTTTTTTAGTTGCAGGTGGACATGATAACTTTATATTATTTTATGTGGTGCTGAGGATCAAACTCAGTGCCTTACATGTGCCAGGTCATCACTCGACTACTGAGCCAAGCTCCAGCCCCACATAAAACTTTTTTTGATAGTTGCCTATAAATTCTAAACAATAGAGGTAAAATTTACTTTAACTAGTCCTCAGCCCAAAAAAGTTTCATATTCTTACTGGTTTCTCTTGACTTCCTCAGTGTATTCATTCCTAATTCTGTACTCTCTCTAACCATTTTGATTTACAGATGTAAGGCCCATTTCTAAAACATTATGTCTGTAGTAATTTTTTAGACTAATGTTTTGTTTTTTAAAAAATAAGCTCTGTGTCTGTGCCAACTGTTTAAACTGAATATAGCCTTCAATTTTTGAATGTATGTTATCAACAATTAAAAATATCTTTTTTGTAGTATGGGAGTCAGGAGATATGAATTCTAGTTCTGATTCTATTAGTTTCCTGTTTTGAATTATAAATCTTCAAGTACCATTCCAAAACTGTGTTCTTCAGTCTCTTAAAATACATCTGATAATTAGTTTGTCAGTAGGGAAACCTTGTATTATCAAAGCCAACTCATCTTTCTGACATGCTCATAATGAAATTAAACAAGGTTTTGTGTGTTAAAGAATTTCTCTTGTTACTGCTATTGACACATAGAGTATTATGACTTTTGGCCCTGTCATCACTAGGAAAGTTAATATTAGAAAAGAATGTTAAGAGGTTTGAAAGAAGACATAAGAGGATAGAAAGCATAATAGGTAGAAATCAGATTCTTTATTCTTTATAGCTGATTGCCTGTGCCTAAATGTCCTATATGATTTCCTGATCTATAACATTAGGAAATAATCATATTTTTCCAGCTCTTGACCCAATGGAAGAATACAGTTTGATTACCTACGCATGCATCTTTTGTTTTGCTTACAGTGGTTTGGAGTCATTGAATTTGAATTCTGCCTGTCCTGTTCATTAACTCTAACCTTGGGCTGTCAGCTTTTACCTGTGTCAATTTTATTTGAGTTTGAGGAACAGACATTGAACTTCATGTGTTTGGTGAATAAATGGGATAATGCTTGTAAATCTCTTAGTATCTGAAAAGTGGTAGTGACCTAGTAATGATTAGACTCAGTTACTTTCAGAATACAGAGAATAGTATATTGGATACCTACTTCTCTAAGTGAAAATGGATGATGGAGATATTCTCTTCAAAATCAGTATCACATAGTTGTTATTGTCTTAATAATGATCCATTATTGAGGTTATAATATACATACACACTAAACGTGACAAGATACATTTATTAGGTTATTTGCAGTGTTAAGCGATCTCTTATTAAGGACATAACATAGACTACCAGGAAATGTACGTTCTGAAGGTGAACTAAATTACTAAATTTCTATATTGCCAATACCAAGTTGTAAACTTGGATTCCTTAGAATAGTTAGAACATTTTTTTTTTTTTTGATTGAAATGATCATTGGACCAAAATCGGGGATATAACTCTCACCTAACTGAAGTCAATGAGGCATTTGAAATATGAAATGCCTACACAAGTATTTATTGTTAGATCTAAAAACATACAACTATTGCTGTATTTCTATTTGCAAGAATTTTTTCCTTACTGAGTTTACTTGAGTACATTTGACATAACTTTATTGGACATTGCTTTGGAATGAATTGGAAGTTATGTGATTTTTTTTTTTTTTTTTTTTTTGAGGAAAATTAGAATGTCAATCTTATGCAAATTGGACTAATTTTTACTAATAATTAGATTGGTATAAATAGTGTTGGGGTATAAATGTGTTTCATGTAGACTATGTCATAGAAATTTGAAGCCATGTGATTTTTTGATACAGGTATGTGAAGTCATTGTTGAGAAACAGAAAAATTATGCATAAACTTGACTTTGAAAATGAAACTTGGCCCATTTTGGGTGTGAAAACCTATAAAGACTTCCACATGCTGTTTTCCTTGCCAAATTTTTCACAACTTAGTAGGAGATAGTTGTTACAGAAATAAGATGTTGGTTTATCCTACTATATTTTCTAAAATATTTTGAATTTTGATAATGTAGTTCTCTTACTCTCTTTTCTGAGCTTTCATTTTGTTTTATATTATTGAATTTGAGTGAATTGTTTTAATTTTAAATGATAATCATATATTGGTAGTTGTAGATTATATTTGTATTCAGTATAAAATAATCTCTCCACAAAGTTTATTCTCATTTCTTTATGTACTTATTTCAGCTCTTCTTTCAACCTACTTGGGGCAGCACTCACAGTTCTACCTACTGGCATATGATGAGTAATGAACAAGGCAGCCATAATTTCTGCTCTGGATTGAGTTTACAGTTAATAAGTTATTCAGTACATCTGCAAATTTGATTATAGGATACTTTGTGTTTAGTAATCATGTGGTCTTATTCAATTTAGTATTACTTTCAAGCTTGCTTTTAGTATTTTTATTAATTGCATTACTGTAACCATGTTGACTTTATTCTTTGCATGCTTGCAATCTCAAAGTAGGTTACTGTTCGCTTTATAATGACATTTTGTCATTAGAAACTACCTTTTTTTTTTTTTTTTTTTTTCTCGGCGTTACTGAGGATTGAACCCAGGGAATCTCTACCACCAAGCTGTATCCCTAGCTCTGGCCATGACCTTGTGATCCTCCTGCCTGAGCCTCCTGAGTGGTTGTGATTACAGGCATGCACCACAATGCCTGGTTTGAAAACTACAGTTTTTACAGACACTTCTATAATATATACGTGGTTTGTTAATATATCACTTAACACTATGCCCTTTGTAATTCAATAACCATATGTAGAAAATACAGTAAAAACAGTTAAGTTAGCTGCCAGATGACATACTTTAGAGCTTGTGTACAAGTAGAATACTTTCATTTTTTTTTTAAGAGAGAATTTTTTTTTTTAATATTTTTCAGTTTTCGGCGGACACAACGTCTTTGTTTGTATGTGGTGCTGAGGATTGAACCCAGGCCGCAAGCATGCCAGGCGAGCGCGCTACCGCTTGAGCCACATCCCCAGCCCAGAACACTTTGATTTGTAGTCTCTTTTGATAGACATTATTGACTCTTATTAAATAAGTGTTTTGGATAGAAGATAGTATAACAATAGTTTCTATGAATTGTTCTACAGTAAAAAGTGGTTCCTTTTTGGTTTGAGGAAAATTGGATATACATAGAGTGGATGTTTGAAATTTATTAGTAAAGTTGTGTAAATTGAAAATTTGAGGTTATTAAGTTGGTAATCCTGAAGAACAAATTAGATATTTTACTTGAGTGTTTTAAAAATTAAATAGGATGTAGAATGGTTGAAAATATGGGGAGTAAAAAATTAGTACTTTGTAACAGACGTTGTCCTTTGTTTACTTGTGCATTGTCATATCCCATGTGGTCCATGTAGTCGCTATTAGAACAGGTAAGAGTTCTCCATTTTATGATGAAGGAGCTGAGCTATTTAATTAAATCATTTATACACTATCCAACACAAAACTAGCATATGGTTGGTCTGGTATTTGTGTTGAGGTTTGAATCCAAAGATCCACGTTTTAAAATTTTACTAAGCTGTCAAAATAAATATACTACTTGGTATTGATAGTAAAGCTATGTAGATGCAATATGCTGTGCTACTTACAACTTTGGCACCAATATCATCACTTTTAATCATTTTTAATGTGTTTGTTTATGGCATAAGCATTGAGTTTACTGAATAACAGTTCTAAACATACTAGTTCAGTATGACGTGAAATAGTTTAGAAAAAGTCAAGTTCATGCATAGGTTCTTATAACAGTCTGTCTAAATAATTAAGATTGCCTAATGTAGCATTCCTAGGGTTTGAAAATTGCAACCTCCTTGTTTGTGTTTAAGAGCAGATCCTTATTGTTGAATAACTGGTCAGTCTAGCCAACTGGTTTCAATATTTCTTCAGTGAGTTAATATCTCTTGTATGTCAATAAAATAAACTTGATGCTTTTTTTCCACTTTTAAGTTAGAGTAACAAAACCTCAAAAGTAGAAATTACATTTGAGATGAAATAATTTTAAAATTAATAAATGTTTTTTATTGTAGCACTTTTCCAGCCACTAACACCAGGCTCTCGAGAATTTGAAGATGTTTTAAATATTCTCCATTCATCTTACCTCGAACCAACTTCAGTAGCAAATTTTAACTACAAACGTGCTTGCTTGATACATAATGAGCTTTTGGAAAAGGAGGTATGTTTTAATTTGTACTTTTTGAAATAGTCTTTTCAGCACCAATTACCAGCCTAGGAAAACCTTTTCTCTAGAAATACTAGCTTTTAAGAAGGCTAAATTACAGAAGGGTAAACAGGCTTTAAATGGTATGATTTTTCCCTCCTAAACATTGTTGCTATAGTATGATGTTTATCTACTATGTTAAATTCTGATTAATGTGGCATTATATGAAATAACTTATAAGTCTTTAGTATAGGTATTGTTTATATTACTTTTTTTTTTTTTTTTTTTTGGCTATACTGAAGATTGAACCCAGGCATGCTCTAATACTGAGCCTACATCCCTAACCCTTATTATTTATTTTTAGACAGTCTCACTAAGTTGCCCATTGCTGGGCTTGAGCTTGTGATTCTCCTGCATTAGCCCCCAAGTTAATTACAGGGATTACAGGCATGTGCCACCAAGCCCTGCTTATAATATGACTTTTTGCTGTTTATTTTGAGTACATACTAATTTAACTGTCTAAATTGGAAGATAATTGAATTTTATGTGTGTGTATTTTAAGGATATGCTCATTTTGTTCCACAGTTGCTTGGTTGGGTTATGTTAACATCATTAGTGGAAATTCTTAGTGAAAAAGTATGAACAAAGGGGGAATACTTGAGCATATTAGACAGTGAACCTAAGTTTCATGTACAGATTTGATATTTGAGTTTTGATTTAGGAAAATGAGATGTTTAGAAATATTTGACATGTAAAAAACTGGAATATGCTAGATTTTTAGTAGAAATTTAGTTAAAATTGATGGGTTATTTGACTATTTTCTATAGGTAAGAGCCAATTAAAATAGGGAGAAAAGAAATTGGGAAGAAAAAAAATAAATTATTTAATATAAAAGAAAAGAAATTGGGAAGAAAGTTCTACTTTGTTGAGTTTGGGATTCCATGGAAAATAATTCTTAACTCTTTGTTTAACCAAACAGTCACATGCTGAGGAATTTTTACAGATTCAATTTCATTTAGTTTGCAGAAAAGCGAAGAGAACTGAAGTCTGATGGTCGTTTAGATAAGGAACTTTCAGAATCCTATGCATTTCTCATGGTTGATAGATATCAGGTGAGTTAACTAATTGCAGAAAAACAATAGAAAGGTGTTTCTATTGTAGGTTAATTTCATAATTATTCAATGATACATTTGATAAGTATAAATAACATTTTTCTGGATACATGAGTTGAAGAAATGATTTAAGAGGGCAAAATAGTTGCTTCATAATTATCAAATATGCTACATTTTCTCTGATCAACTCTTGTCTTCTTTCCCTAGACGTGTTGATAATGCATTTTCTTTTTTAAAAATTATTTTCTATATTGTTAATTATAAAGGAATACCTTTTTAATTAAAGATGGTTAGTGGAGTTATTTTCTCTTTAAATATTTTGCTAGTTCTAATATTCTAAAAGGTAATGTTTGTGAGAGACCAGAATTCAGAGTTATCTGTCATCCCTAGCACCAATAAAGATGGATTCCAAATATGATTACTTTGGAAGTGTAAGTCAGTTTCATGTTGATATTTAGTCATAGACTATCTCATAAATGTGATATTTCTAAAATGTAGAATGTACATGGTGTCGAAGTTTAGATTTTATTTAAAACCTGTTTATCAATTACTTCATGTTTTTAATGTTATGATTGCAAAATGAAATGTTTTGTTCATATAGGTTCAAAGTATATGTGAAAAAGGATTACAGGTGGGCCAGTCCAAAATAACAATTCTTGGCAGACCTTCCATGGGTAATTTGTTTTCTTTTTTATTTACCTACTTTTAAGCTGCCTTTGAAAAGTCTCAATTTTGCTGCAGTCTTTGTAATTCTATTACTGCATGCTTTATCATGTGTCTGTAACAAGACAGTAGTTTCAGGGTCTGAAATGTATAAAATTTTTTATTTTGTTTTGCATACTTCTAAATGATTAAAGCTTACTTTTTCAAATGTATTATTCTAGTCCAGGTGACTTTTGTCTTCTTTTAATTGTAATTAACTTCATTTTTTAAAAAAATTTTACTTTGGTTAAATATTAGATTTCTGTTACATCTCTTCTTAAAAAAAATTTTTTTTAAATATATTTTTTAAGTTGTAGGTGGACACAATACCTTTATTTATTTTTATGTGGTGCTGAGGATTGAACCCAGTGCCTCATACATGCTAGGCGACTGCTCTACCACTAAGTCACAACCTTAGTCCTCTGTTACATCTCTTTAAAAGTTGTTATACCATTTATCTCTTTCATTATTTGTTAAGTATTTGGATTTTTAATTTTTATTCATACCCTACTTATTCAAATTCTGTAATTTTTCTCTATTAGGTGTCTATCTTTCTAGGTATGCTGATTTATTGCAAGCTAACCCTTTGGAAGCTGGGGCAGTGGGTGATGTTGTTATTTTTAAAATAATGAAGGTAATTGGAACTTTTACATTTCACCTATCAAAATATGGCATCAAAATATGTGATTTGCTCGTGAGGGGTACTGGGAATTGAATCCAGGGTGCACTACCACTGAGCTATATTCCCTTCCCCTTTTTTATTTTGAGGCAGAATCTGGATAAAATGCCCAGATTGGCCTCTAACTTGAATCTTCTTGCCTTAGCCTCTTGAGTTGCTGGGATTACAGTGATCTAGATTTTAATTTTAGTTGACTTTCAGAGTTTGATTAAATTAAGAATTACATTTATGTTGAGGCCCACTCTTGCTAATATATGAAGATACTTTTGAGAGTGAACTTTGATTTAAGCTAACCATACTTAATGGTTGTTTTCTCTTCCAAAGAAAATGAAAAGGGTAATGTGTTGCTAATGTGATTTGGGTTAATGAAGAGTGTTATGAATAGAATTTCTCTTTTCTTATTAAAATATTAATGTCATATAGTTAAAAATCATGTTTAGGTAGGCACTTAAAAGTTTTCTCTGTTTTAGGGTAAAATAAAGAGTATATATGATCCCATGGGTGTAAAAAGTTTGGAGTCTATGTTAAATAAAAGTGCTTTGGACCCCACACCAAAACATGAATGTCACGTGTCGAAGAATGCCAGTAGAATTACATCACTTTTGGCTTATAGAGCCTATGAGCTTACTCAGGTATGTGCCTGGAACCATTTTAATGTTATGACATCATATCTGTTACCAAATCCTTCAAAATATCTCTTTTAGTTCCCTCTGCTACCACATCAGTATCTGGTTTCTACAAATCACTGCTAGATTTCAGTGTCCCTCACTGCAGTGTGTTTAGTGTTTCCAAGATGGCTCAGACATGTACTGTGGCTTCTCAGACCTACAGGGTAATATTCAAATTATTTAGTTTTCCCTTGTAGGCTATGACCTCAACCTGGTGTGATCACTGTTTTAGCATACTGTATTTCATTTGAAACCTTGTTTTTTCTGGGGATAAAAGGATCTGACTAATAAAACACTACCTGTGTTCATGGTAAAGTTAAAGCCTCTTAAAATACCTTAATTCATAACATTTTATACTGTTGACTTGATATTTTCTATTTTTATTAACTTAAAATACAAACAATTTTTTAAAGTTTTATTCAGGTATAGTTGGTATAGTAACTATTCATTTTTTCTCCTTTAAAACATTTTAATTTGACACATAATTGTACATATTAATGTTGTACAGAGTGACATTTCAATACATATATGCAATGTTGTCAGATCTAGGTAATTTATCATTTTGTGTTGGAAGCATTTATAATCTCTGCTGTTTTGAACTATATAGTTAGTTGTTGTCAACCATAGCTACCCTATTATACTGTAGATCATTCAAAGTTATTCCTCCTGGCTGGAGAATGTAGCTCAGGGTAGAGCATGTGCTGAGTCATATATGAGGTCCTAGGTTCTGTCCCATCTACTAAAAAAAAGCAAAAGAACTATTCAACCATACCCCATACCATGCCCCTTAACCTACCTCTCTACATTTCCCCCTCTTACACACCCATCCCAGCTCTCATATCCCCTTTTCTACTCTATATACTTTTATGATCTCAATTGTTAGAGCAATTTTTTATCTTCTACATAAAAGTGAGACTGTGTAGTATTTATTTCTGAACCCAATTTCCTTCATTTAACAGGGTCCTCTTGTTTCATCTGTGTTATAGTAAATGACAAAATTTTATTCATTTTTATGACTGAATAATTGTGTATATATTTTTTGTGTCAGTTGCTGAATTACACATATTTAAAAGTGTAATACTTGGTGTATGTTACGTTTTTATGTGAGGTTTGACTATAAAGTAATATTATCTTTTAAACAAACAAAAAAGTGACAGGACTGGGGATGTAGCTCAGTGCAAGAGGGCTTGCCTCACATACATAAGGCCCAGGGTTCAGTATCCAAAACTCGAAAAATAAAAGTTTATGTCCACATGGGTTGTGAAAAGTAGTGATGCTAACCTACCTAGAAATATTTTTTTTTAATTTTACTGTATTCATGTAAAATTAAATAAATTTTATTTTACATGAATACAGTAAAATTTTTTTAAAAATTTTATTTTACATGAATATAGTAAAATTAAAAAAAAAATCATTTGTGAAGAATCTCTAGGGAAGACCTTTGATTGGGAGTAGTGAAAATTATATTTTCCACAGGCATCTCGAGCTGACTCATTTGATTACCTTCTGGACAGTATATTGACTGATATAACTTCAGTGTAATTATGGTTTCTCTAGGAGGATTTGTAATCTAGCTGTATGTTTCAAGATACATTTGAGGCTTTTTTTTTTTTTTAAGAGCAGAAACATTATTGGTAATTTCCCAGAGGTAAGAACTTTTTAAAAGAGTGCTGCTTTGTTTATAAAACCTGAAGCAGCTGGGCACAATGGTGTATGCCTATAGTCCCACAGTTTGGGAAGTGGAGACAGAAGGATTCCAAGTTCAAAGCCAGCCTCAGCAACTTAGTGAGACCCTGTCTCAAAAAAATAAAAAGGGCTGGGGATGTGGGCCACTGGTTAAGTGCTTCTGGGTTCAATCCCTGGTACCAAAAAAAAAAAAAAAAAAAAAACCAACAAAGTAAAAGCTGAAGCATTCTTTTTAAAAATGAAAATGACTAGTCTACAAGTCACAAAATCCTAGCCTAATGAATATGGTGAATAGGTGAAGGGGAGAAGCTGATGGGTCATAGGATGATACTTGGGTTTGGTTGAGATTATGGCCTTAATATTTTATTTTTCGTACCAAGTTGGCTTTTCTGTACTGACCTGGGAGTTTCTGCTCTGTTTGTAATAATTTTACTGGAAAACTTATCGCATCTTCCCAGTAGTCAGCTCTTCAAAAGTAAACTTTTGGAACAACCAGTACTAATAACATGGGATTTGATACATTGTAGCACAATATTTTATATCATAAGATGAATATATCAAGTGCAAATTTTGTTAAATTAATTAATGCTGGAGCTATAACTTTAAAATCAGAAGTGGTAAATGGTTTTTGATTCTCAAAAATCAGATAAACGTTTCCACTCCATATTACTTGCCTACTTAAAGAAGTTAATTTTCCATTTTTTTTATATTTAGTATTATTTTTATGAGTATGGCTTTGATGAACTAAGGCGAAGACCAAGGCACGTTTGTCCGTATGCAGTTGTGTCTTTTACTTACAAAGATGATATACAAACTGTAAAATTTGTATCTTCATCCAGGTAAGATGAGTTTTAGACATTATCCAGAGTGATGTGATATAGAGCTTATGCTACTGATTTAGATGGACTACTTTCTTTCCTCCCCTCCCCTCCATTTTTAAAAAACTTAATTGGATTCTCAAGTGTTCAGGATAACTTTTAATAGGTCAGTGTGAAAGTTGTGTGTGGTGGTGCATACCTGTAATCCCAATAACTCATGAAGCTAAGGCAGGGGATTGCAAATTTGAGGCCAACTTCAGAAAACTAGTAAGGGCCTAAAGCAACTTGGCAAGACCCTGTCTCAAAATTAAAAATGAAAAAAAAAAAGAAAATAAAAAAAGCTGGGGTTCTAGCTCAGTAGTAAAGCATCTCTAAATTTAATCCCTAGTACTCAAAAAAGTCAATGTGAAGGATAAGATTGACTCTGTGGAAAAAAAGTTTAAGCTAAAGTTTACTTAAACTTTATTTGGTTAAGCTCTTTTTTTGTTGTTCAAAGTTTGTGTAGTTGTAAATGCAGTTTTAAAAAGTAACATTTTGTTCATTAGCTCTCCTGAAATGAGGAGCTTCTGCAAAACATCTCAGTCATGGGAAGCCTAGTCATTGGTGATTGAATGCTTCCTGGTGATTCTGATGTTCAGTTACTGTTGAGTACTATTGATGATTATCTTGCATGCTGTAATTGAAGGTGACCATATATAAATTGTTGGCCCTTTTCCCCAAGATTTGTGGGTTTTTTATCCCCTGCAATACTGGTCATTGAACTTGGGTACTGTACTACTGGTGCTGCATTGCTATCCCTTTTATTTATTTATTTATTTTTTTGAGATAGTCTCGCTTAAGTTAACCGAGGCTGGCCTCAAACTTGTAATACTCTTGCCTGAGCTTCCCAAATGCTGGGATTACAAGTGTGTTCTATAGCACCCAGACACACAATGGGGAGTTGCCCTGGGTATGTTTATACATTGCTGCCCACTTTGGGCATTCATTTTAATCATTTGGTTTTAACCAAGTGGAATAGTACGTTTGTAGAGAGAGAGGTCTACTCATTTTTATATTGAGTTCCTATATGTACTTGAAATCATGTGTGCTTTCAATTTAGAAATAAATGACTTTTTTTTAGAGAATTTTTATTTATTTTTTTTACTTTTCTTCGGACACAACATCTTTGTATGTGGTGCTGAGGATCGAACCTGGCCCGCACGCATGCCAGGCGAGAGCTCTACCGCTTGAGCCACATCCCCAGCCCAAATGACTTTTTTAAAAAAAGCCACATATCATGAAACATGTATTTTAAAGTTGGCCTCCTGAATCGGTTTTCCAGATCAAAATTATCTTTCATTTTAAGTTGTCTTCAGATATAGCACTTTAAAAAAAATCTTTAATTACTTTCTAGTTGTAGATGGACATAATGCCTTTATTTTATTTATTTTTATGTGTTGCTGAGAATTGAACCCAGTGCTAAGCAAGTGCTCTACCACTGAGCCACAACCCCAGATCTGAAGCACTTTTTTCATGTTAATAAATAAGCCCTGGAGGCTATCCACAGCCATAAGTACCTGTTCACATAATATAAAGACAGTTGAGTTTTAATTCTATTATCCTATATTTATGATCCCCATGATAACACACATTTGCTATAGCATTTTTTTCATGAGTGATCTTTAAGATACCTAGCACAGCCAGATGCTGTGGCACACATCTATCATCCCAGTTACTCAGGCAGGAATAAGCCAGGCTGTGCAACTTAGTGAGACCTCATCTCAAAAACAAAAACAAAAACAAAAAAAAAAACCACGTTAATATACCCAGTGCTACAATATTTGCCTAGCATAACAAAGGCCCAGAGTTTAATCCCCAGTGCTGCCCTCCCTTTCCCACATTTATAATTACAAGGTTACCTCCCCTAGAAATAGTAACTTAATTTTATTTCATCTTTGCTTCCATCTGTTATCTTCCATATCATTTCAAACATACATTTTTTTGAACATCTATCTTGTACCTTGAATGTGCCATCAATGCCTTGGGATAGTGCATTTGTGATTCCTTTTCCCCATTATTTCTGTAATTTGTTCTTATGTTTCTTTAAAACGTGAGCTTCTCAGTGAGTCCTTCCCTTTTTAAATTTTTTTAAAAATTTAAACCCCTATACTGTGGTGTAGTGGTGCACATCTGTAATCCCAGCTACTAGGAAGTGGAGGCAAGAGGCTCTCATATTTGAAGCCAGCCTGGGCAACTTGGTGAGACAGTGTCTTAAATTTGAAAAACGTGTTAGGGGTGTACTTCAGTGATAGAGCACTCACCTAATGCATAAGGCCCTAGGTTCAATTCCTAGTACCACAAAAATAAATAAACCCCAGTATGTCTTTTTTTTCCCTTCTTCCATAACACTTAAAACCCCTACCACCTGGTAGACACTATTTTTGGTTAAACTCTATTCTGTTTGATTATTGTCTGTGTTTCTCATTAGAAAGCAGAGACTTTGTTAGGTTTATTCTTATAATCTTGTTACCTGGAATCGTGCCTGGTAGTAATATTTATTGAATGATGAATGAACATATTTATATGTTGCAACTATTTTTCTAATCTTATCATGAAGAAGTATTTGACTTACTGGACTTGTCTCTTTTAATAGATATTTTTTTTTGTGGGGGAGGATAGCTCCCTTAAATTTGGGAAATATGGGTATGTGATCAAACTAAGTGCTTCTAAGTTCTTCTTGTTCTCTAAATTTGGATTTATTAAATATTATGAGATATTTGTTGTTCTTGGGGAAAAGATTTCATTCTCTTATGTAGTACACCATTCAAATTTATATATTTCAGAATGCCATTAAATTTATGGGCTGTGCATGTAGCTCAGTGGTAGTGTCTTGCTTATAGCTTGTGTGAGGCCATGGGTTCAATCCCCAGCACCATTAAAAAAAAAAAAAAAAAAAGACTTATCAAGGTCCTAAATGTTAAGTTTTATGTTATCAATCAGTAATTTTTTTTTAATTATTTGTAGGTCTAACAGTTTTAACACAGATAGAAACATAGGTAAGTCGAAAGAATAATACATATAGTAAAAGATTAATAATTTTTTGTTTTATTTCCATAATGAATGAAAATATGCAAAGTATGAAAAAGCAAATGAGGCAATGTTTTGATGCAGCATCAATACTTGGTCATCCAAGCATAAAGTCTTTTGTAAGAAGCTTCTGCTTAAATGATAGACTAAAGAGTTATAACACTTATTGTAAAAGGTAACTGATAAAACAGACTTTACAACTCAGCCTTTTTAAATATTATATTCATCAGAGCCGAGTGTGGTGGCACATGTCTGTAATCTCAGCGGTTTGGGAGGCTGAGGCAGGAGGTTTGCAAGCTCAAGTTCATCCTGGGCAACTTAGCAAGATCTTATCTCAAAATGAAAAATAAAAAGGGCTGGGGATGTAACTCAGTAATAGAGTATCCCTGGGTTTACATGTCCCCAGATATAATCCCCAGTTAAACAACCCTTCTCCCCCTGCAAAAATTAAAAGTAATAAAACAAGTTTTCATCATAGGTTTAAGATCTAATTTCTCCATAATAAAAGTGAATGAATAAAAGATAGAAGACATTGTGGTCATTCATATAATTAACAAGATTTAATATCTATTGTTTATATAGAATTTATATATGTATTAGATATTTGGGAGACACAAGAGCATTGGTTGTCTCTGAGGACATTTAGATAAATTTGTTATTTGCTAAATCTGGGATGATTTTTGTGTGTGTGTATGGGGGGAGTATCAAACTTAAATCCTAGAATTGGAGCTTTTTTATGAATGGAAATGTCACTTTTATGTTTGTTTTCTACTTAAACCCTTGTGCCCAACTATTTTCCCTCTTCTACTGAATTTGCATTTACTTCTCTGGGTTATCAAGAGATTGAGCTATATCCTTTTTTTTTTTTTTTTTTTTTTTTAAGATAAATTTAACTATACCTTGTGGAAAGGACAACTTTTAAATAAAGGAAAGCTTCTGTGTTATATTTCTCTGAGGTCAGCCACTCGTGCTTTTTTGCCTATCAAACTGTAAGTATAAGAAAATAGCAGTTGCCAGAAAAAGAAAAATATGCAAAATAAACAAAAATAGCAGGCTAAGTGTTGATTGTTTCTTCTTTTAGCTTTTTTCCTTTTTATTACATTTAAATTGTGCTTTGTTCCATAAGAACTTAAATACAAATATTAGTTTGTTTTTTAAGAAAGTTGATTTAATAATTTTAGAAAGTTACTTGGCCCAAAAGGTCCTCTGCTTCTTTGTCTTGATTTGAGGATAAAATAGTCCTTCATTCATATATGTATGTATGTGTGTATATATATATATATATATATATATATATATATATATATATATATGGTATAACATTTTTTCTTAAGTGATATTGAAATCTGAGAAGATAAATTTTAAGTTTTATCCTAATTTTATATATATTTTTTTCATTCAGCTGAGTACAGTAGACTAGTTTATATAATATTTGTTGGAAAGAACTTTGTTGTTGTGAGTTAAAGAGGCTCTTTTCAGTTCAGTCCTGTGCAACATGTTAGAATATTGAGTGATCTAAAGTGATATTTTGGTACCACCAGAGTAAACATTTGGGCCTTTTTGAAGGTTAAGAGTAACAGTTTGTACTTGAATTGTCTTTAATAAAATGACAATCTCTTATCCTTTGTGGTTAGTAAAATTTGCATTAATTAATAGGATTAGCTTCTGTCTTTAGGATGAAAGGTTGGTAAGATTGCCAGGCTGTTTACCTGTGTCTAGGTATTGGACTTCCCCTGTAAAGTCCCCTTTAGAATAAGTTGAGATAATGAATATGCTTTTCTTTTTTTCCATTGTATGTGTGGTTGTGTCTGTGACAGAGAGAGCCTTGTTAAAGTTAAAAATACAGGTAATGTGAACATGCTTTTTTGATTTTTCTTTCAGTCCTGAGAAGTTAGATGTTGAAACAGTTATGAGTATTGATCATCTGAAGCAGAAAATTCCACCAGCACTCTTTTACAAAGAAACATACTTAGGTCCAAATGAAGGTAGAGTATTTAATTTTATAAAAGAGATAGGGCTGGGGTGTGGCTCAGTGGTGCAGTGCTCACCTAGCACATGTGAGGCACTGGGTTCGAACCTCACCTCAGCACCCCATAAAAAATGAAATAAAGATATTGTGTTCAACTACAACTAATAAATAAATAAATAGATAAATGAAAGATATAAAAAAGCAGACTTAATTTGAATATTTATTGTATTTTTTTAATGTCAGTTTTGAAGAATGGAATGTATTGCAGCCTTTATGAAGTTGTAGAAAAGACAAGAATTGGAAGTAACATGGAGAATTTACTGCAGAAACTAGAGAAAGAAAAACTTGTGAGTGAAAGTTCTACAACATTCCTTGTTCTTCCTTGAAAATAAATAAGTGATTATACTAATATTTTGATTTATTTTTGACTTTGAAAGTCCATAAAGTCTCTGTGTTGTTACCACTTAGCAGTGTTTTACTGACTGGTACTCTTTTAGGGCGTGACACTAGACATTTTACAGACCAGTCTTCCCATGAAGTATTTTTATTTAATGATTATGAATATGATCATTAGCAAATATTTATTCTTATTTTCTTAAGCAGGGTATATAGTTTAGTAAAGAGTGACACAAAGACTGTTCTCCTGGATTATACAGTGATGAATAAAGTTATTATTTAGATGCAGTTTGTTCCAGTAGAGTATATTTGAAGATATAAAAGAATGAGAAACCCTGTGAGGTTGAAGAGATTTAAAAAAAAAAAAAAAAAAAAACTGGAACGTTTTAGGGGGATTGGGGAGATGTGTTGTATTCGACATCATTCAGGAAGTTTTCAAATGTTTGGGAGTTTGTATTTGAAACTGAGAGTAATTTTTTTTTTGTGGGGGCATTGTGGGGATTGAACTCAGGGCATTCAACCACTGAGCCACATCCCTAGCCCTATTTTGTATTTTTTATTTACAGACATGGTCTCACTGAGTTGCTTAGTGACTCACACTTTGCTGAGGCTGGCTTTAAATTTGCCATCCTCCTGCCTTAGCCTCCTGAGCCACTGGGATTATAGGCATGTACCATGCACCCAACTTGATTCCATTTTTAATTGTTTTCAGGTTTTCTATTTTTTTCCTTGGGTCAGTTTCCATATATTATGGTTGTTTTTTACGAATTTTTTCATGTCTTCTAAGTTTTCCAATCTATTGGAATAAAAGCATTCCTATAGTCTTCTTTTAAAATTTTCTGGGCTGGGGATGTGGCTCAAGCGGTAGCGTGCTTGCCTGGCATGTGTGCGGCCCAGGTTGGATCCTCAGCACCACATACAAACAAAGATGTTGTGTCAGTCAGCCGAAAACTAAAAATAAATAAATAAATATATATATATTTTTTAAAAAATAAAATAAAAAAATTTTCTTTTAGGGGCTGGGGATGTGGCTCAAGTGGTAGCGCGCTCGCCTGGCATGCGTGCGGCCCGGGTTCGATCCTCAGCACCACATACAAAGATGTTGTGTCCTCCAAAAACTAAAAAAATAAATATTATAAAAAAATAAAATAAAATTTTCTTTTAGTTGTTGAAAGACCTTTATTTTATTTATATGAGAATTGAACCCAGTGCCTCACACATGGTAGACAAGTGCTCTCCCATTGAGCCACCACCCCAGCCACTCATAGTCTTTTTAAAATGTGCTACTGAGCACATTTTATGTAGTATTTTCATTACTACTTTTTATTAGTTATTTACCCAGAGGATTGTCTGCTTTGTCTTAGTCACATTTTGGTTTTGACCTTTTTTGTATCTTTTACTATTTTATTTCTGCTATTAACTTCTAGTTGTTGTGTTTTTTTTTTTTTTTTTTGACATTTGGTGTTCATTTCTAACTTATTAAGTTGGAAAAAGTCAGTGAATACTCAGTTTTAAGTAATGCTTTATTGGCATGTCACATGTTTTAATGTGTAGTATTTTCATTTAGTGCTAAATATGTTTAGTATTGTGTTTTCTACTTTGCATGATTTAGAGGTGTTTTAACTTCCAAGTAAATGGAGATACTATTTTTATGTTTTGTTTTAAATTTAATTGCATTTCTGTAAGAACATACAGGGATTATTTAGAATTTATGGACCTGATTTAAATACTAGGTGGTCAGTTTTTATACATGTCCCCTTTTCTTGAGGGAACTGTAGGTTTTGTTTTTAAGGGTACCAGGGATTGAACTCAGGGGTGCTTAAACATTGAGCCACACCCCCAGCCCTTTATATATTTGTATATTTTGGGGGGGGGGGTGCAGGGAGGAGCACTGAGGATTGAACTCAAGACAGGATCTTGCTAAGTTGCTTAGGGCCTCCCTAAATTGCTGAGGCTGGCATTAAACTCACGATCCTCCTGCTTTAGCCTCTTGAGCCACAGGGATTACAGGCATGTACCACATTAGGCAGGAACTTTAATTGTTGAATACACTATTCTGGGTTGATGGCTGTTTCCTTCTTAAATGTATACTACATTGTATTCTTGAGGTCAGCTCTTTGTTCACATACTGTTCTTTGTAAGTCAGGTTTTTATTTTTTTCCCCTCCTGGCTGCTTTTTTGATCCTCTTTTTTTCCCCTTTGGTGTTTTGCAGTTACATTATCTAGGTGTGGATTTGTTATTAATCCACCTTGGCACATTTTCTTCTGTATCTGTAGTTATATATCTTCATTTCTGGAAAAATTGTTAGCTATTATCTTTGTACCTTTCTTTTATTCTGTATAGTCTTAACGTTTTTGGGGACTCTTACGAGGTGTACATCAGACCTTTTTATACTGTACTCCATGTCTGATATTTACTTGTTTTTCTGAGCTGCATTATAAGTAAATTTCATTGCTGTCTTCTAGTTTAAAATTCTACCTCTAGCTATGTCTAATTGGTGGTTTTGTCCATTCATTGAATTTCTAATGCCACATGGAATATTTTTCATTTCTAAAAGTCATATTTGATTCTTTTCAGATCTGCCAGGTCATTTTTTAATAGGTTCTTATTCTTTCAGACGTTATTTATTGAGTGCCTCGTATGTGCCAGGAATTCACACAATGTAAGATTCATCATTTTAGTCCACCTGGCACATTCTAGGCAGAAAGTACTATATCACTGAGCAACATATCCAGCACTTCTTTTTTAATTTTGAGACAGGGTTGAAGTTGCCCAGGATTGCCTTGAACTGGAAATCCATCACCCCAAAAAGAGCTCTTGATCATTAAGTATTCACTCCCTTTCTTCAACCCTTGATTTATTTTCTCTACGGATGTATGTGTTCGGGACATTTTATATAAATGAAATCATGAGCCTGACTTCTTTTTACAGACCTTAATACTTTCAAGGTTTAATCATGTTCTAGTATATATCAGCACTTCATTTCTTTTTTATGACTAAATAATACATCATTATGTGAATGTCACATTTTCTTTGTCTATTGTTTCCATTTTTTGACTGGTTAACAAAATGGTTGCTATGAGCATTTGTGTACAGCTGTTTGTATATTTTCAGTTCTGCCAACTCTTTATAAATATTTCAAAATGAACTTTTTTTATATTTTGCACCTAATGATTCTAAGTTATGCCTTTTGGGTTCAAATTTTTTGTTGTTGTTGTTTTGTTTTTCTATTGAGTGCCACTTAGTATACTTTACTTCCTTCTAAGTTAAGTGTTTTTAAGGTTGCGAGCTTGCTGGGCACAGTGGCACTCACCTATAATCTCAGTGACTTGGGAGACTGAGTCAGGAGGATCACAAGTTGGAGGTCAGCCTCTGCAATTTAGCAAGACCTTGTCTCAAAAAGTAAAAAGGCCTAGAGTTGTAGCTCATTAATAAAGCACTCCTGGGCTCAATCCCCAGTATCCAAAAAAAAAAAAAAAAAAAATGATGGTGAGGGGCTCAGATGATTGCTGCTCAGTGGTAGAGTGCTTGCCTAGCATATGTGAGGCCCTGGGTTCAATCCTCAGCACCACATACAAATAAATAAAATATTGTGTCCAACTACACTGAAAAATAAATATACAAACAAAAAGATTGTGAGCTCTTTGGTATTATACTTATTGGTTTCATATTGCCTGTAATGTTATCTGACAAGTCACAGTAGTAGTGATAAGACAAAAAAGAATAAAGTAGGAAAAACTCAAAGGCTAGGTTAGATTAATGTTGTTACTCAAAGGGAAAGAAAACAGAAAGGTATAATAAATAGAGACAACAAGAACATGGGGGACTCTAGCATTTTTCCTTCCTTGCATGTTTGAAGGCATAGATAACACAAAGGCAGAGAGGCCCCAGAGTTTTATGTCTGGGTGTGTATTTACACTATTCTATGAATTTCTGGGTATATTGGCATTCCTTAATAAGTATCTCTAGGCCACCAAGCCTTTGAATTTTATGAAAACTGTATTTGGAGTGGGTAAAAAGTTAGAAGCATGTAACTGGTTTTCCTTAGAAAGCAAAAATCGTATGCTTTCCATTGTCTTGTTCTGACACTTATGAGTTGGGCAAAAATCTTAAAAGGAATATAAAATTTAAAACACTTAAGGTCAAAGTATTTATGTCAAACAAAAATTTTTACAGATACTGAGTCTACTTGTAGTATTTCCAGTAAAGATATCCTGGCCATAAGATTAATAGTAGTTACAAAGCCCATTTTAGTATATCACAGGGCTGATACTACATGTCACTTAGCAATGTCATACAGCCTGGCCTGAGGATTTATAGGAGGCAAAGCCACCTCAGCACAGATGGAACTTTGCTATACCTTAAAACAAAGCTTTTTCTTGTTTAAACTCCCTTTATGATAGAAGTCACCTGGTAACTGACCTAGACCAAATACAGGTATTAAAAGAGGGGAAGGATTTTCCCAAGCTTTAGATGGAGATCCTGTGTGAGTCAGTCTTCTGACCCCTTAACTGTATATGGCTCATACCACCAGCCTGCTGATGATTTCAATCTTTAAAAGTGCTGCCAGAATGTGAACTGTTTGAGCATCAGATGGTATCTAAGAATCAGCATTGGCATTGATTGAACTGAAGGGCAGAAAATGCACCTGGGGTAGCTGGACAGCTAGGATTACCTGAAACCTCTAAACATACTCACTTTGCTTTTGAGTGTTCAGACAGTGTTTTTATTAAGTTTCATAGTCAATTTTTGTCCTTTAAATTATTAGTTCTTACATAGATTTTTTTTTTTTTTTTTTACTAGCATTATTAGTGGAATTTAGGTAGCACGGTTTTCTTTCAGAACTCAAATACCCTACTACCATGCTCATTCAGTTAATTTATACACTCATCCTTTGATTCAAAAGATGAACTATTTCAATAGCCTCCAAAATAAGATTATGTTGTTTCTTTCCCAGTCCTGCATAGTGCTGTCAGATCTTTTATTATTGTTGTCATATTAAGGAAACACTAGCATAAAAGGGTATATTGTCAAAGACATTCCTAGCTAAAGTGGCATTTTTGTCTTTTTACAATCTGACCCCTGATATTCCTTTTTTTAGACTTACACTTTTATCTTATTCTGTCCTCACCCTATTGCCAGTCATAAGTTCTGTATGCCTATAAATTGTCAAGTATTTTATAACTTGCCTTTGCTTATGATGTTGTGTCTCCTAAAATGTATTTTGCATAGTCTCAGGCTCTTGTCAGTGCTTCTCATCCTTCAGAGTCTACCTTTGATACACTCTTCAGTAAACTTTTTGTAACCATCTTTTACTGCCATTTTTCTTTTTTTATGTATTTTTTGGGACTGGGTTTTAGCTCAGTGGTAGAGCACTTGCCTAGCATGTGTGAGACACACTGGGTTCTATTCTTATCACTCCAGATAAATAAATGAATAAAATAAAGATCCATCAACATCTTTAAAAAAAAATTAAAGCATTTTTCCATTTCCTGTTGCTTTGTATATCTCTTAGGAACTTTTTTGTCTTACTTATTGCTATTTTGTGTGTTCTTCTCTCAATTATAAACTTGTTGTGATCAAGGAGCTGTGTTGCTTCTTGAAGTTTCTTCTGGGAGGGCAAATTTCATAACAAGTAAAAGATGTTCATTAAATATATGTGGAATTAGATTATGGCAATATATTTCTTTCAAGATTAATCTGAATTCTTCCAAAGAAGTATTTCAAAGAATGTTTTTTCCAAATGCAGCACAGTACCTTGACATTTAATATTGTATCTTTTGAATTGATGAGGAAAATATTAAAAGTATTTGTTTTAGCCTTAGGGGAAAAAATAAACAAGTTGGTTTCACAGTTAATTAGGGGAATTATTTCAGTGATGTTCTCTCAGCATAATATAAATTTTTGTTTATTGGAATTGTGTTAATTAGCATAGAGTTGATTGGGACTTTATTTGTGGTGCTGAGGAGTTTTTAACTAATTCAGTAGCAGTATTTTTCCTAAAAAGATTAAAAACTTTTTTCTCCTGTATGATTAGTAGAAAGTGCTATGTGTCTGTCCTATAATAATAAATAAAGCACATATAACTTTTTCCCTCTCCCAAAAATGCAGGTTCTTGTTAAACCTTTAGGAGACCGAGGATACCTTTTTCTTCTCTCTCCTTATCAGATGGTTTCTCCATATGGTAGGTGACTTCTCTTATTACTGACCACTTTTTAAAAATTGTTTATTTTATGTTTTTTTTATGTTAGTGACTTTTGCTTCTGTTTATTTAGAACATCAGACTGTCAGGTCTCGAATCCTGCATGCTTTGTTTCTATTTCAAGAACCTAGAGCCGTAATTACTAGTAAGTTCTTTGAATACCTAAATCTAATAACATATAGATACCTAAATTTCATTGAAAAAATTTCAGGTAACTTAATCAGCATTTTGTTTTTTTCCTAGATCATGTTTTTCCTACACCAATATTCTGAAATATTCTAATACCTCTAATACTTAGAGGTATTAGAAATTTAAAGCAATTAATGTTTAACTTTTTTTTTCTTAAAATAATTTTACACAGTACTTTAACTGATAAATGATTGTTATTGTTACATTCCTATGTAGCTTAATTGCTGTGCTGGAGATTGAACCCAGGGCCTTGCACATGCTAGCCAAGTACTCTATCACTGAGCTACATCTCCAGCCTTCTTGAGGGATTTTTTTTTTTTTTTAATTCACTTTTGCATTTGAGTTAAATATTAAGCCATTCAGAATTAGAATTTCTGGCACTGATGTTATATACTTTGTTGTCTTTTTCTAAGAAGAAACTGTTGAATTAGGATAAATTTCTAAGTCATAGCTACTCAATGCATCCATATCAGCTTACAAGAGAAAGGAGTGTCATTACTATCATGCTTGGAGTTGGATCTTGCCCTCTTTATTTCTCCTTAACATTTTCCTTACCACCATTTGAATTGCCTACCAGAAGTAGGAAATGAAGATCTTCAATGAGTGGGCGTTTTTTCCTTTTAAAAATATACTCTGCTCTTTCTTTTCTTTTTTTTTTTTTTTTATTGACCTGTTTCATGTTTTTGGCCTTAGAAGTGTACTTTCATAAATATACTACATATATGTATTAGGGTACATATTCCTTTGGTTCAGTGTTAATCTATAAATATTGTTGCACTTCTTTGGAAGTGTATAGTTCTGTATTTGATTAGCTTCTTGATGCTAACATGTTTTGCTTTTTTTTTTTGTTTGTTTACAGCACAAAAACGTTCAACCAATGCAGCACCACAAGAGAGGCATGAGAGCATGCCAGATATATTAAAAATAGCTCAATTTTTACAATTTGCTTTGATTCAGTGTCGAAAGGAATTCAAAAATATAAACACTATAAATTTTCATTCTGTTGTTGAAAAGTATGTAAGTGAATTTTTTAAGCGAGGTTTTGGTTCAGGTAAACGAGAATTTTTCATGTTTTCATATGATTCACGATTAGATGATAGAAAATTCTTATATTCGGCACCAAGAAATAAATCTCATATCGATAATTGTTTGCATACCTATATTTTTCGGCCTGAAATGTATCAATTACCTATTTGTAAATTAAAAGAGCTATTTGAAGAAAATAGAAAGCTTCAACAGTTTAGTCCACTTTCAGATTATGAAGGTCAAGAAGAAGAAATGAATGGTACAAAAATGAAATTTGGAAAACGAAATAACTTAAGGGGTGAAACTATTACATCTGGAAAGCAAAAATCATCTCATTCTTTGGATTATGATAAAGATAGAGTCAAAGAATTGATTGATTTAATTCAGTGTAGGAAAAAAAATGTGGGTGGGGACCCAGACACACAAAACATGAGAAGCAAAACTGTCTTGAAGAGGAAGCTCGAGGACCTACCTGAAAATACGAGAAAACTCGCCAAAACCAGTAATATATCCGAAAATTGTCATCTATACGAAGGTAAAATATCAGATTGCTCTTATGACATCCACCAAAAGTATAGGAAAAAGCTGTTTTTTCCTAGTAGAGGGTCTTCAAATTAAAGCTTGAAGGCCACATCTAACCTGTCTTCTTTTAATAAGAAAATTGTATTGTAATACAGCCATGCCTTTTGATTTATGTGTCTATAGCTGCTTTCACATTTCAGTGGCAGGGTTGGGACAAACTACAGGGCCCATGAAACCTGATGGTATCTACTATCTGGTTCTGTATAGAAAACATTTGTCAACTCTTATTCTGGTACATCAGATTTCTGAAGAGTTTGGTTTATGCCTGTATGAGAGAATACAGCTATTTTCCTTTTCTATTTTCTTTTATTTTATTATTTTCTATTTTCAAAGCTCTTTCTTTTCTATTTTCATAATTGGAGAAAGACAACATTATAATATTGGGTTCTTTTAGGATACTGCTTAATGAAAGGAATCTTCTAAGCTTTAAAATTTCTTAGATGCTTGCATATTAATTTTCTATCCTAGGGATCCAGGAATGTCTTTGGGCTTTTCTATTTTTTGTTTTGCTTTTTTTTTTTTTTTTTTACATTAAAAAAAAAAAATCTTCACAATACTGTGGATTGAACCCAGGGCCTTGCATATGTTAGGGCTCTGCCAATGAGTTATATCCTTAGCCCTCTATTCTTTCAGTCGACAAAAAAAAAAAAGATAGGAATGAGACCCTTACTAAATACGTTTAATTTAGAAGTAAGCTAAAATATTTTTTATCATCTAGGTTTTTAAGTCTTCACAGTACTAGTCCATAAGCATAATATGTGTTCTTTTGCAGTCAGGGACCTTTGAAACCATACACAGTTTGTTCTGCTGTTGATGTTCTTATTGATTATGGCAGTTCTGAGTATTCCTTTATTTCCTACTGAATGGTTTTACTTCTTTTCACATTCATTACATGTCTGACTAGGTTGGACAGATGGGTGTCCTTATTATACTTACTCGGCACTCTATACTTGAGTCCTGACTTTTCACTTAGCTACTGACCTTTTCTTCTTCTTGCATTATCCAGCATGGTTCACTATTCATATGTTAAAATTAATAATACTGTATTGTCCAGGACAGATAGCATTTTAATCATTGCAGAAAGTTCTGTTTGACAAGTGATATTTCTGCAGTGACTTTGAGGGTTTTTTCTTGTGTTTCTTTTTCTTCTCAGTGTTTGTTCTTTGTCTGTGTTCATATCACCTTGGTGACCTTCCTGGCTTATTTGAATGACTTTAGCATCATGTTCTTAATATTGCTTTGTTAACTTGTGATCAATCTCATCTTCTATACTTGGCATATAAAGATGTGTTAGATTGGCCATATCCTGCCATGCTTTCCACTATTTCATGTGGTCTTTGACTAGGGTTCAGTCTCCCTAGAATATGAATTTTATTTTTCCTCCCTGAAACATCTTCCACGTCTATCAAGTTTTATATTGTCACAGGTCAGATCTCACCTCAGCTTTCTGGCTCTTCTTTTTTGGGGGGAGGGAGGTACCTGGGACTGAATTCAGGGGCACTCAACCACTGAGCCACATCCCAAGCCCTATTTTGTATTTTATTTAGAGACAGGATCTCGTTGAGTTGCTTAGCACCTTGCTTTTGCTGAGGCTGACTTTGAACTTGGGATTCTCCTGCCTCAGTCTCCTAATTCCTTGGGATTACAGGTGTGTGCCACCACGCCTGGCACTATTCTACTTCTTGATGATCTCCATCTCCTTGTTTAACTTATGCTGGACTTTTGGTCTATACTGAACCCTGTTGACACTAATATGTACTGTGTTACACCTGTGTCAGGAGAGTTCAAGTGTTTACTATATGCTAGGTATGTCATGTATTTATGTCATTTGGTTCTTGAGTATTAGGCATTATTTTCATCAGTTTTGCAGTTGAGAAAACCATCTCAGGTAAGTAAAATAATGTTAACTACATCTGCATGTGGCAGACTCCGTGTTTGAACTCAGAACTGATTGACTTAAAAGCTTTGTTCTAAATTTTCTTTTTTTTTTTTTTTGAAACTTTTTTTTTTAATTTTTTATTGTTGGCTGTTCAAAACATTACATAGTTCTTGATATATCATATTTCACACTTTGATTCAAGTGGGTCTAAATTTTCTTGTATTAGCATTGAGCACATAATAGGCATTTAATAAGATAAGTCAATTGCCAAAAAATAAGTTATCTGTGAAAAAGCTGTGTTTGGGGATGTAGCTCCATGGTAGGTTACCCTGGGGTTCAGTCCTAAATACACAAACAAAAGCACCCTGCTCTTGATTTGGTGGTGAGCTCATTTTATAAGAATGAACCTCAAAAATCATTTGTCACTTTTAACTTTAGCACCAACTTTCTCAAGGTATAATTTTATATATGGCACACCTTTGTTAAGCATGCATTTTAAGTTTTGACAGCTGTGTAACTAACTCTACAATATAGACATTTTCATTATCCCCCAAAAGTTGCCTTGAGATCCACCTAACTGCCAGTAATCTGTTTTTTTTGTCTATATAAACTTTACATATGCAATAATTTCTTATTAGAATCATGATTATAATTAGAGTTAGTAAATACTCCCTTTTATTTTTTACCGTGGTATGTTGTACCCTTCCTAAATTGGAAATCCTAATATCCACTCAGGCATAAGCTCACCTCCACCTGAGTATTAAAGTACATGACTTTCTGAATATGTGCTCTTTGCAACTTTTTAAATATTGGTTGTACAGATTATCTAGATTTATATGTTTTCTTTCATGTTGCATGTTTGGAGGTTTTTCCAGTATCTCAAATATCCTAGCTTCATTATGAATATAAGTAGTCATTTTGGATAAATGTTAGCAATTTTAAGAATGTTAACCTGAGCATTAAGGACAAAGGCAATAATAGGTACAGAGGAAATAAAATTAAGTGATAGGTTGGTTTTTTTTTTTTTTTTTTAAGTATATGTAAGTATAATTTGCATCTCCTAAAAATTGGCAAAATAGTGGAAAGCTTATCTTCAATCAAGCAACTAATTGAGTGGGATTTTGGTGGCAGAGTTTAAGGTAATTATAATATGGTTACTGATATTTATTATCCATAATTTATTATTTACAACTTAATGCATGAGCTCATTTTCTTAATAAAGTACTTAAATTATGACATACTAGCCTTCATTTAAAAGGAATTTTGGCCTTTATTCCAAATTTTAGAACTGATTACATTTTTAAAATCTAGACCTCACTTGTTTGAGTTCTTGCCTATTTTTTGTAAGTAATTTTTAAGGTATATTTGATTTTTAAAATATGTAAGCTGGCTTTCAAACTTAACTTCAAGAGATGACTTTTTTTCTCCCCCCACCCCGCCCAGAGTCTCCACAGCCCATTGGCTTACTTGGGCATGATGCTGACTTGAGACAGCAGCAGCAGGATACCTGTAACTCCGGTGTTGCTGACATCCATAGGCTGTTTAATTGGCTATCAGAAACATTAGCTAATGCACGCCATTCTGATGCATCCCTGACAGAGACAGTCAACAAAGCCTTAGGATTGAGCACTGATGATGCCTATGAAGAGCTGAGGCAGAAGCATGAATATGACTTGAACTCTACCTCAGATAAGAAAGAATATGAACAGCCTACTTGTGCAAAAATTGAAAATACACATTTTAAGGGTGCTCAAAGCCCATTGCTAGAAGTTAATGTAACATCTTTAAAGTATCCGGTTGCTGTTTCTACCAGTGAAGTAGGCATTGACCATAAGTTGCATTTGAAAGAAGTAAGCATATGTCTTTTGGTTGTCTTTCTTTGCTTTTGTGAGTGTGGGTGTCAAGGAGGATGTGGGTTTGTGCTTCATGGAGTGGTTTCTTCTTTCAAGAAAAAATAAGATACACTTGAGTAAAGATATTTATCTAGGACAGTGCTTCTTAGTTTTCCTTGTTATGAAATAAATACCAAAGTAGTTGTTTTCCTTCCTGCTCTTATAGGCTTTATAAATAGTCTAAGGTTTACTTGTTGTGATAAAACTAAGGCTGGACTGTGTTTGTCAGAAATGGCATATTGGGAGTTGGTTCCATGTTGTTTCATAATGTTGAATCCTCAAAGCATTTGCTGCTTTCTGCTGGCAGAGGCAGAGAACTCAAAGGTGAGGCAAATGAAATGGTTGAATTTATTAGTGTCTCAGTGTAATAAATAAGTTTAGGTACTTAGTATTTGTTGTGCAGATGGGAATGAGATGAGTCTATTGGGATTACCTCTGAAGTGATTCTCCACCCTTCTGTGAGGGCTTCCAGATTATGGTATGTGCTTAGCGTACTGGTTTCTAGCTGGGAAGTAACCTCAAGAAGTGGCTGTATCATTGAGAATGACCCAGGATGGTACCATATTCCCATGGACTTCTAATTTATTCTCTATCTGGAGGAAAAGTCATAATGTGGATGTTCCCAGCCTTTGTCCATGTAGTTTTGGGATATTTATATTAGGAAGAAAATTCTAGTAAAGGACTTATATAAGGTAGGCATTGAGATACTAACCTGCATGGTTTGTATTTTCCACTGTATTTAATACTCCGATTGACAGGGATTTGGTTGCCTAACACAGCTCACTTCCTGTTTTTTTTTTGTAATTAAAAACTTTGTGCCATTCAGTTAGGTGTTGCCTTATGTCCACTTTTGAATTGTTAATGGCAGAGTTCAGTATATGGCCTACAAAACCTAAAATGTTGGTGCCTTACTATAAAAGTTTACCAGTCACTGCTCTAAATTAACATTGTTTTGAGAAGAATAATTATGTTTTAATTTTGAGACTAATGTATCATAACTTTGCCATGTTTATCAGTTATTTGTAATGTTTAGATTGAAGTGTGTGGATTTGCTGTGAAGAAAATAGTTATTCTTGACATTAAAATTTAAAAGAATGCTATTGAATATGTACTTTAATTTTTAGGATCCAAATTTAATTAACATGAATAATTTTGAAGATTGCAGTTTGTGTCCCACTGTTCCCATTGAACATGGATTACATAGACAGCAGTCTAAGTCAAATAATGTTGAAGAGACTGAAATACATTGGAAACTGATACCAATTACAGGTAAGAAAAAATAAACTAGGTCATAGTTTTATTGCCTTTATTCAGAACCAGTTTCTTGAAGGGTTTCATCTTTTCAAAATTCCACTCTTGGGTTACTAGGTGCTTTATCTTAGTGACATCTTCACCATCTTATTTTGAGCAGTATCATATTCGTCAACTGGTGATGCTGTTCTTGGTCATCATCAGCAAGTATCTGCAGAAGGGCCTATTAATAATAGAGGGATTTAGGACATATGTACTCTCCCTATTAGATTTAGCATGCAGACTATCAAATAAAAATTGTTGGCAGAAACTGAGTTTCTTACAAGGAGAGGTAGGTACAGAGATGAAATCATGCTCTTTGTTCAACCAATACTTCTCAACTGATTAAACTTTAATAAACTGTCATCTAATAAGTGGTTACGTTAAGGTTCATCTATTTGAAAAAAAATTTTTATTTCTTAATATTGGAGTATCTTAAAGAAATTGAATCATCTTGGAGAATAAATTGAAATGATCAAATGCAAAAACCTAAGAAAGCTTATTGATCCATGGGCCTCAAGAATAATGTGGTAAATGTTGAAAGATTATCATGTTGCAGTATTCTTGTTTCTCCATGCAGATATACTCTTAATATTCCAAGTTCTTATTCATCTTTGTTACTAGCTAAATATATTCAGAAATGTTGCTAGGGCACATCTTTTCTATTTCTAGCTAGACCTTCATTTAACTTTAAAAGAAAAAGTAAACTACTCTTTGCTAAAAAGTAGGCTGACTTGTGACCTTGGACCTCCTTCAACGATTCTGAGAAGAATTTCTGAAATTTCAGGAGTTTACATGGACTTCATTCAGCACCATTTTCTACCTTATTAGAGGGCTAGAAGCCCAAAAGTCATAGGGAGCTGCTACTCTCTTATGAGCTGGAGACATTGGCTTGAAGTAGTTTATTGACCTGATTGTCCTAATCATTCCTCATTTAAACACCTTCATACTTAATGTTGAGCCATTTGAAGGCATAGCATCTGGGTGTTATTTCATCACCTGAAAGGAAAAGGAAGGAGTTTGCCATTTCTGAATGACCCTTCAGGAATATTTGAACCAAAAGAAGGAATACGTGGATTTGTTAGCTTTTGGGGTTTTTTTTGAAAGGTACTTAATAGGTGTCACTGGTATCTGAAGACAGTCTACAAATCTAATGGATGCTTTCCCTCAGGAGGGAACGCAAGAAGCCCAGAAGACCAGCTGGGGAAACATGGTGAGAAACAAACACCAGGTGAGAAGGCTCGCTTTGCTTTTCCTCCCAGTTCTTCAGAATGGCTTTCATTTCTGATTCTTTATCACTAGGGCATTGATTTAAGTTCCATTGTTTACTGAAAGTTTGGCCGATACCATATTTATATTTAAGTCATTAATTGAATTGTATCAAATATTCTTACTATAATATGTTCAGAAAAGTCACTGGATATTTATAGATTTCTTTACCTATAGTAGATTCTCTCTGATAGGATTACTTGGGAAGACTTAGAATTTGTTTTCCTAATCCATTTTGCAGAATATCTTAGGAAGCAGTTTCTTTGAAGTTTCTTTTAAATTTGAAAAATACCAGGAGGGAAAGCCATTTATCTTTTAGGTACAGTAATCCTAATCTTGAATTTTTTAACCTGGTTCTTAGTTTAAGAGATGAAGAAACTGACTCCAGAACATCATCCAGATTATTACTGATTAGCTAGTTACAGTGGAGAGTCTCTCCTTTCTCTAATGTCTGAGCTCAAAGTCAATTCAGCTTTTACATATGATCATGAGCTTGATTTCTTGCTTAGAGTTTGGTAGTCTTTTTTTTTTTTTTTTTTTCATTATTTCCATTTCGTTAGAGTCTCTTTCAGAATTTTTTTTTTTTTTTAATTTATAGAGGGAAAGCTAAATGATTTTCTTTGTAGGTCTTTATAGTGATTCTTTTGATATTAAGAAGTTTCCTTCAAGAAAATGTTTCTTCCTAGGAAAAGGTGATTTTTTTTTTTTTTTTTTTTTTTAAGCAGCTGATATACAACATACAGGAAAGTATTCAGCTCATTTTACATGTGTATACACATAGGCAACTACCACTTAAGGCGAGATGTAGTACATTTCCATCACTCCAGGTATTCGTCTGCATCTACTTACTCAGTCTATACTCTGCCTGTTCCCAAAAAGTAACTACTAAACTGACTTCTTTAACATTAGTTTTGCCTCCTCTTCAACTTAAGGTAAATGGAACCCCCACAGTTTTTTGTGTTTGGCTCTTTAACTCAATCTTGCATAAGGGTTTCATCCATGTTGTGCATCTATCAGTAATTCTTTCTCATTGGGAATAGCAGGAATCTTATTTGTATTTGAAATGCTTCATAGGCATCTGTAGTGCTCTCATTTGGGATACTGTATTCATATTTTATAACAAAGTGTAGACAATCTGAAGTCACCTTAAAATCTTACAGGGAAATTTCTTTCAAATAAAGTTTACATTTTTAAATGGGATTTATTTAGTTAGGTTTTTTTAAATATGGGAAATTCTCCATGTAGATTTACATTATATTTAAATTTGAAAAAAAAAAAAATCCCTTTATAGCCCTTTAGGAATAAGCTTACTGGTCTGATATGTGGCTCTAAGTTTAAAATTAGTCTTCTTCAACCCATGTGTTTTATATTTGAATAAATCTGATATTTCACATGGTACATAATTCAAGAAAGGAAAAAAAACACTAAAGTAAGTACACTTAGTTTCCTCTCAGTGGATTAATTATTGTTAATGATTTCTTGATATAACCTTGCAGATATTTTGTATACATACTGAACTCCATTTTAATGTTGTAGATATAAGGATATGTATGACATTGAATATTCCTAAACTTATAGAACTTGAATTTTCTGTCCTGTCAACTATGTACAGTTGCAGTTCTTTCCTTGACAAGTTGAATATTTTGGTCCCCTTCTTGCTTTCACCCGTGGACCTGCTGTGGTCTTTTTACTCTGATGACAAGTGCCTTTGCAGTAGTTACTGAGTGCAGTGATTCATAGTAATCACTAGGTCAGTAGAGAATGTCACAAGCTGCTGCTGAGATTGTTTAAGCCTTTTAGAGAAGTTTAAGTCGGGTGGACTTACATGTAGAAAAAAGCACATGCTCCCACACCTGAAACTTTAAAAAGATACTGTGAATTCCTTTTTCAAAAAGTATTGTAGATTTGAAAATGATAGATAGACTTTCTTATTTAGAGATACCATTTTTTATGCTATAGTAGCAATTAGTTAGGGAATGTTGACTTTAAGGAATATTGGTCATTTTTAAAGGGTGAAATAGTGTGATATGGCCTTATAGACAAAGATCATGATTTTTTTTCCTAAAATGTAATATGACTGTTGAAGTTAAATATATTTGCCCCTTGTGTCTTAAAAGTGTATGAGGGTATTTGTTTTGAAATGTAGTTTCAAAAACATGTTTGAATTTAGAATTTTTGTGTGTAGGGGAGTATGATCTTATAGATAAAGCTCATTGTCAAGAATCAAAGATTGTAGTTCCTTTAGCATCAGCTAACTGAAACACCTTTTTATCTCAAATGGGATAGCTATCCTGATTTCTCTTAAAATTACTTGCAAACAAAATGGAAATCACTATGAAATTTTATTCTCTTCCTATCTTGTTGAGGCTTTTTTCAGTGACAAAATAAAGTCCCTAACATTGCAGGAAATCTCCATATGAGAGCAAGTCTGAAAGTGGATGAGTTATTGTAGATCCTAAATGATTGGTGGAATCACAACATCTTAATTTAACATTCTTTTGAGTTGCCTTACACCCGATTCTCATATTAAGTGAGTATTATAGTAGATATTACCTAGCAAGGAATGTAAGAGTTGAGCAAGCTAATGTAGTTGACCATCCTGATTAAAGCACGTCAGGTCTATGGAATGATAGAGAAGCAGAAAAGAAGCAGATGACCTGTGTTGCTAGAAATACTTGTTTGAATACTTCAAAAGAAAATTAGAAAGTTATTACTCTGCCTCCTAAAACCCAAAAACATGCCTGTAAGTAGGGCACATAGGAAATAGGGTTCACAATGGTATTTGAGGTTTTTATTTTACTTTCAGATGCGTAATTAGTTAAATATTTACTTGACCTATTTTTCTTCTGATTTAAAAGTGTTTTTAAATATTATCTTTGTGGATTGTTCTTATAATAATAAACTCTTCCTATATAGGTATGAAATCACCAGAAGAACAACTGGTGTGTCTGCCACCACAGGAAGCCTTTCCTAACGACCCCCGGGTAATAAGTAGACAGAGAAGTTCTGATTACCAGTTTCCATCCTCTCCATTTACAGACACACTAAAGGGCACCACTGAGGATGACGTGTTGACAGGTCAGGTGGTGACAGTGGAGGAGCAGTGTGTGCCAGCAGCAGAGACGCCTGCAGTGAGTGAAACTACAGAGAGAACAGTGTTAGGAGAATACAATCTCTTTTCTAGGAAGATAGAAGAGATTCTGAAGCAAAAGAATGTTTCATATGTCAGTAGAATTTCCACACCAATCTTTTCCACACAAGAGAAGATGAAACGGCTTTCTGAGTTCATATATTCTAAGACTTCAAAAGCTGGTGTACAGGAGTTTGTAGATGGTTTGCATGAGAAACTAAATACTATTATTATTAAAGCATCTGCTAAAAGTGGGAATTTGCCATCAGTCAGTCCTAATGATTCTGATACTAAGATAGCATTGAATCCTCTGGGAAGGCATATTGTATCAGTTTCCTCAAGTGACATCAACAATAAACACCTCCCTGAGTCACTTTGTAGTGATGCTTTGAAAGACAACAACTCTAATGAACAGCATTCCTCTTCATCATTGAGTTTAACTGAAGGAGCAATGAACCAGTCGCATCATGCTACAGAGGTAATGGTGACTTCTGATCATACTGTACCTGGTGATGCTGCCCGGGAACCAGTAGAAAAAGAAACAAAATCACCCAGTGATATAAACATCTCTGCCCAACCAGCTCTTTCAGATTTTATAAGCCAGTTGGAACCTGAAGTATTTAATAGTTTGGTTAAAATCATGAAAGATGTCCAGAAAAACACTGTGAAATTTTATATTCATGAAGAAGAAGAGAGTGTGCTCTGTAAAGAAATAAAGGTAATTAAATGGGAAGGTAAATAATAATGCTGAATAAACTTCTTATTGACTTGACCTCTATAAAATGGAGTTTAAAAAAAAGGTTGGTCTTATATTTTCATAATCTAATAATTCAGAATAGAATAAAAGATTAATAAATTGAACTAAATGTAGTACCTGTGACCTAAGTATCTTAGAATTTAGAATCTTTTTCTGTGTAATTTTTAGAGGGCATTTATGTAAATAACTGCAAGATATAGCTCAGTGGTAGAGAACATTTTGGTCCCCAACGGTACCAAAGAAGAGTCTGTTTGTACATACTACAGATATTTTAAACTGTCGATTCAGAGGTTTTAAATACTGCCTACTTGGGCTTTTAATGAAAGGGAAGAAAAATACATGCCACCATTCATAACGGAGTTTTAGGAGTCAGAAACGAACTGTCCAGGGTGGACCTAATGATATGTTCTTGTGGTGTTTCTTGATACTCTGGCCACGTCATGATTCGCTGTACCCCTTATTGATTAGAAACCTTAATGATCCTGAAAGACTTCCCAGTCATGAAGGACTATTCACTGTAAGGTGTATCTTTTCTGCCATAGAATAACTTTTTAGGTATTTGTTTTAAATACTTACCTTCATGTATATAAGCATAGACCTCGGTAAAATTTGTTATTTGTATCAGTGGTTTAGTGTATTTGATTAGTACTATAAGATTTTAATTGTAACTTGAGGGATTGTCATGGGTTTTCAAATGAATGCTTGTTTCCATTTATGCAATTTACTTATGACTGAAATTGCCACCTGTTTTATTAGAGGAAGCAGAGGAACAAATTAGTGACTTAGAGCACAGCATGGCCCAAAAACTCAGTAGTAGTGACAAGGGCCTAACCCTTTGTCTAGGGTTCTCTGACGTCACCAAGTTTCTTGTGGTGTACCCAGTGAAGATGTGAAGACATGGAAATGACATGGAAATGAAAGAGGATCAAAATACTTGTTGTGCTTTTCTTACTGAATCCTTGTGATACCTTGGGAAAATGAAACCAAGCTTGGTTGCATTTATGCCCTGTATATTGCAATGTAGAAGTTCTTAGCTTCCTACCCCCGGCAACATGTTTCCAAGCAGAGCACTCTTTGGAGCATAGGTGCACATTGGGTAGGGCTAATTGAGAGAATAGGCTGGGTTTAAGGGCTGGGGATGTAGCTCAGTGGTAGAAATGTGTGCTTAGAATAAACTGCACATTCTACCCTCTTCGCTCTTTTAATTTTTTTTAATGTAACATTCTTAACATGACATTTAAATTGAGGGGATAGGAGATGCATTTCCTTATGAATGGTACATTAAATTCATTTTAGGGTAGAACAAATTGTATTTCTGGCATTATTTACTTTATGTAGAATAAATAACTGCTCTTACAGATCTAATAGAAAATGGAACTTTTACTGTTACACTATCCATCAGATAATTTCCAGCAAAAATAAAGATAAGGAATAAAAATATAAGCTTACTAATTTCTATATTCAGGTTGTTTTATTACTATATAAGATAGTCTTATAAACTTCAATTTAAAACTCTCTAATATTAAAAAAAGACCTAAAATCACTGAGTCCTGGCAGTAATTTACCTTTTCACTAAGCTAATCTGAGATTTGCTCAGGTGCTTAGATTAGAGTAAAATCTGTAGAAGCTGCTGCTTTAGTCTAGGTGTATAAAAAATATCCTCTTTAGGTGTGACATTTTAAGCAGCTTTCAGAAGAGCAGTAAACTAGTTGTCAAGCACACTGGGTTTTGATCTGGCTATTTGACCAGCTGTGCTGACGTTGAGAACATTAAGTGAGGAGTGTTACCTCCAGGATCCTGCAGTTGGTGTCAGGGTTCAGGAATCTACCAGCAAGCAAAGAGAACTCTGCATGGACTTAACAGCTTGTGTCCTGTGAAAGGTAGTAATACTTTGCCACCAGCATGGAGGGAGGTTTTAAATGGGAGAGTCTGCTTTGCTTGAAGATGTTAAATAGCCAATTAGTATGTGAATACTGGTGTATGAATACTTTCTGACCTGTTGTGAATTAAATGAGTCTTATAACTCTGAAGAGGAATACCACAGTAATATTGCCATGAACAACCAAGGGCCTGCAAGAAAGCAAGGAGTGGTTAATGATGTACTCTACGTTTCCCATAATAATGAACAGAGCTGGGTTTAGAATGTGGGAATCTGGGCTAATCCATTATTACAGTTCTGTCATTTCACACAGGCATTTACTTTAAATGCATAGCATTCTAACATTGTAAAAGTGTGATTGGTGAAGCTTGACCCTTTAATTCCTCTTGCATAAGAGGAGTGGACTTGAGGCCTGTGAACTTTCCTAGAGTAAAGTTTCTTAAAGGTCCTAGTAGTAAAATTTATCTGTTTGTTGCATCATTTACCAAAAAGCTTTTTAATGTTGATATAGTTGTTTTTCTTTAACAGGAATATCTTATCAAATTAGGCAATACAGAATGCCACCCAGAACAGTTTTTGGAAAGAAGATCAAAATTAGATAAACTATTGATTATTATTCAAAATGAAGACATTGCAGGTTTCATTCACAAGGTAGTCTGTTAAGTCACATTCATATTTATTTTGGTTTTTTATAACTCCCTTATTTTTAAATCTTAACTGAAACTAAAGGTTTTGTCTGTAAGCTTTAAAGATGATAAAACATATGTATCCTTTCATGAATTAGCTTGGGGGCAGTTGTTTTGTACCACTGCAAAATTCCTAAATTGCTGTACATCATATTTTCTTGACAGTCAAAGTAGTCAGTACTAATAAAAGTACTGAATCCTTGAATGCTGGGGGCCTGCTAAATATGTATTCTTACCTTTATTTTTATGTCTCAGGCACCTATTTGTGCTACCTCTTCTTTGCCAAACTAGTCCTCCTTTCCCTTCGATTTGGAGGTATCCTGTCAAGAGACTCTTGTCTTCTGAATTTTGACTATATTCGTGTGTTACAGACTGGTTACCATTTGTCCATTTTGTTTTCAGGTCTATTGTCAAATATTTAAATAGTGGTTTATATATTGGGAAATAATGTTGAAGTAATTATTTTTGTGATTTTTTTTCAGCTGCAATGCATTAATACAGATGAACCATAAAGATTTTGTGTGTAGGTTACTTATCATTTCATTTCCTTATCCATCCTTTTCTGTTTTTTTATATTTAACAGGTACCTGGCTTGGTGACTTTAAAGAAACTCCCCTGTGTTAATTTTGCTGGTGTTGATAGCCTGGATGATGTTAAAAATCATACATACAATGATTTATTTGTATCAGGAGGTTTTATTGTGTCTGATGAATCAATTTTAAATCCAGAAGTGGTTACAATTGGTAAGGTTAATGCAGTCTTATGAGCATGTAACTTGTTCACCATCCCCACCCCTAGGTTTCTAGAGAAAATGGGGGATTTGACTTCTTAATGGTATTGTCTGTTATTCTGTCACTCACAGTAACCAGTATATTTTAATCTTTTTCCTGGGCTCTTATCACCTCAAATTTCTTTCCTATTTTTAGTATTTTAAATTCTTTTCTGTGAATCTGGTATAGATTACTTTTGGGGGGTGGTGCTAGGGATTTAACCCAGGGCCTTGTACATGCTAGGCAGGCACTCTACCAACTGAGCTATATCTCCAACCCCTAGATTACTTCTGATATTGGTACTGTCATCAGTGTATTCTTTTTTCATGTGCAGATATTATAGTCTTAGTGCTTTAGGGATAATGTAAGTCTCTTAGGAAAAGAGTACATAGGAAAGTAGATCTCTTACATGATATGAACAAGCACTTCTTCCATAATTCAGATGTGGATTGTTAACTGAAAAGAAACTTCATTATTTCAACAGAGAGCCTTAAAAATTTTTTGGCATTCCTTGAAGACCTTAGTACCCCAGAAGGAAAATGGCAGTGGAAAGTTCACTGTAAATTTCAGAAAAAGCTAAAAGAACTAGGCAGGTAAGATTTGGGAAAAAAATAAATGCATAATGGTTGATTTTAATACTGTGCTCACAAATTTTTTTCCCCATGTTTGTAGACACTGCGATTTTGACAGCTATCCATAGCCAATCTAAGTTAGAAGTGGTATTATTGTTTAGATAGATGTTTAAGTTCTGGTTTTGTGTAAAGTACAACTGGCTTAATGTGCTTATTAATCTAAAATAATCAAAATGGATCTACAATTTTTTTTTCTTTGAATTGTATAAGCCAACTAGATCAGGCCCTCTTCCTAACAAGTATTTGGACAAGGATTAATCTCAACCTGATAAGGAGACTGGTGATTAGGATATTCATTTATATTTGTACATATTACTTCTAATATGCCTAAGGTCAGTTCCTTGGAGGACTAGTCCACAAACAAGTACAGTATCAGATGAGTTTGAGATACTTATCCTACTGTAGAGTTTAAAAGGTAATTATTAAGAATTTTTTATATTTGTATTTCTCTGCATTTCCTAATCAGACTGAGGTACACTCTTAAAGGGAATTCAGGGTTAACTAATTTCCAGTTATTTGATTCTTACAGCTATTCACCTTTTAAAATTTACCCTCAAAGTCTGTGAAGTGGGTTTAGGGCAAATCTCTTCTATTACAGTTTATAAACAATACTGAGATCTAACGGTATACTTATCAACAGTTCCCTCACTTTCCTAACTGCAGCTAATAGTTTTTTTAATGGCTTGTTGCCTTGTGCCTTACATTGTAGCAACAGCTTAGAGTAGAATGATTGAAATTTTAGCCTAAGGTAGTATAGCGACCACCCCTGCCAGCTTGCTTGTAGACTGCCTAATTCCCACTCTCTCTGCTGAACATCCCTATTGCTAAGAGTATAATTGTCATTAGTTACCTAACTAAGGAATTAAGGTTTTAATCTGAAGTAAAAACTTTAGAAGTACAGACCCAGATTTTGAACTTTGTTTAATTTCAGATTGAATGCTAAAGCTCTAAGTTTGTTGACACTTCTGAATGTCTATCAGAAGAAACATCTGGTTGAAATCTTGTCATACCACAATTGTGATTCACAAACTCGAAATGCTCCAGAATTGGATTGCCTTATCAGACTTCAGGCTCAGAACATACAACAGCGACACATAGTCTTTTTAACAGGTAAAGAAAACACTCTTAAGCTTTCTAATATAAGGATGTGGATGAAAAAAGGATTTCCTGGGGCTGAGATGGGTTGTTAAGCTAGAATTCTGAATGTGTGAAATAAAGGATTTTGTTGTGGTTAGGTATCATTGTTTGTCTATGAATCTTCAGGTGCTTTTTTTGTTGTTTTTAAGAGAAGAGCATCAAGGTGTTTTCCAGTTACACAGACAATGGAATAGTAGTTGCAACTACAGAAGACTTTATGCAAAACTTTAAAACTCTTGTGGGCTATCACAACTCCGTCACAGAAGAAAACCTTCCGTTGTTTGGTGCTAATGAGAACCTTGAGTCACAGTCAGGTAACTTTTCAGCAGTTTTATTTTCTTTAAAGGCAGACAGAAAAAGGAATGGTTTTGTCTGGTATGAAATACTGAAATGCCTATTTTGAAACCACTGACTTCAGTGTAAATAGGCTTATGGTTAGTGTTTAAAGGCATTTATCATTTTAGTACTCAGCATGCACAAGTAGTCAGTACAAGTTGTTACCATATACTGCATTTCTGACTATGCATTTTCTCTTTGAGGGTATGTACACTTTATTGACTGCTGCTGTCCAATAAGGGGTTTTATTAAGGAAAAAAAGTAGGAAACCAGATCTGGGGATTTAGCATTGGGTTACTAAATCTCCTCAGGTGTATGAAGCAATGTAATTGGAGATAGTAGGAATATTATAGCTTCAGTCTTGTGAGATGGCCTCTGCTTTGGTTCCAGAGTTTACGTAAAATGAGCAATGTATTTAACTTTGTTTTTGGTGAAAAGCAGAGATGATCATTCAATAGAGCTTAGTTTAGTAATTCAGTGAAGCTAGATGTCAGAAATTTTATTTTATATTTGTTTTGTCAAATACTGAATTACCGTATAACTTTAGATGCTGTTTTGACATTAACCCCTTTGGAGCTGGGAGTTGGGATTTCCCAACATTAAACGTGAACACATTTCGCAGAAGCTTTTAGCATCGGATTATCTGGACATTCACACCTAGTGTGAGTGTTGTGACTAAGTGAACTTGTGGCAGAAGACCAAGCTTTAAGGGATTGTGGACTTGCAGACCCTGACGCATTATATTGTGTGAGTAGTGTATAATTTTAAAACTTAAACAAATTGTGTAATTCAATAGAGGAGGACTTTTTGTTTTTTAAATGTAGCTCTTTTAGAAAACGATGAAAAGGATGAAGAGGATATGTCTCTGGATTCAGGGGATGAAATCTCACATATAGAAGTATGCAGCAATTTTCATTCAGAAATATTGGCGAAAGAGACCAAAGGATCCAGTGGAACAGATCAAAAAAAGAATATTCAAATTGAGTTGCAGTCATCTCTTGACGTGCAAAAAAGTTTATTAGAAGATAAGACTTACCAAATTGATTCTGAAGAGAGCGCTTCTGTTGATGATATAGTATGCTCTGAAGGAGAGAACAGCAGTTCAGCAGAACAAGATTCATATAGCAACTTTGAGGTTCACCAGAGTCAATTAAATATGTCCCGTCAGTTTAGTCATTTTAATGTTCTCACTCATCAGACATTTTTGGGGACACCATATGCCCTTTCATCAAGTCAGTGTCAAGAAAATGAAAATGACTTTTTATCTGCTTATACTCAAAGCTTGGATAGAGAGAAACCTCCATCTCCAATAAATTGGGGAAAAAAATGAAAGAGAAATGTGGTAACTTAAAAAAAAGGTTGTTGTGAACTTTTTCTGTTTAAGTGAATTAACAATTTATTAACAATTTATATTTCTTTCTCTAAGCAAAAGGTTTCTTATCCTTTCTGAAATGTTTTTCCTCTTATTTAAATCATGATGGCCTGTATCAGTTGAAGCATCTGAAAATTGAAATAAATATATATTTCTAACATATTGTATTTGAATTCTCATGTTGGGACTTTTTAAGTTTTACATTTGTTTTCTGTACTTAGGCTTCATATTGAAGTCAGTTTTATATGTAAAATTAGATGACTTAAGCTTTTGTGTATATAGGATTTTGTGCAGTTTAGTTTACACAGGACAACAAGCAACTTACTTTTCTGTGGTCTAATGCTAACTTCTACATTTTTGAAAACTGCAGCAGTTTCTACAATAAATGTCAAAATTTAGAGAAACTTCCACAGGAGCCTAAACTGGATTTGGGTTATTTAGTAAAAGTCTAAAAATGTGTTAAGTCTTCTGGTACTCTCAGGTACATAAAAGCCATGGAAGAACAGGTCAGGAACTCCAGACTACTAAGGTAAGTTTTATAGCACTGAGCTTTTACAAAAGTGTCTGCTTTTATTTAAAAAAAAAAAAAAAAATACAGCATTTACTACATAATGTACAAGCATAGCGTACTTGAAAAATACAGTGAGCACATTTTATCATTTGTTTAAAATGAAGAACTAAAATTCTCTTCTTGATTTGCAGCTAAAGGCATGAGATTAGTTTCCAACTCCTTTTGCTTCTGGAGAAGGCCCTGAAATCACATTGATACATTAGTAAGGTGTGTAATAAATATGGCCATAGCTTAAGCTTGATCCCCACCCCGAGTAATTCTTGTGTCCTTCACAACTGGATATCACGTAGTAGTTATAAATAAATCCTCTTCACTCAATCACCCTTCACATGTTATCTTAAGCTATATATATAGAGAGAGACCCAAATTAGACCCTTTTCTTAGTAACCCATTCACATTTTCTAGAGGGAAAATTATACCTCTAATTTCTAAACCAAAGCCCCAGATGGAGAAAGTTAATAAGATTATACATGTAATTTCTACTCAGCCATCAATGTTTAAAACTGCCAATACATTCATTACACTCAGTCTGCATTATTAATCAAAGCATAATTTGTTTTTTGTCTTGCTGTTAAATGTATGGGGTTTTTTTTTTGTTCAATAAAATTGAACTGTCTAATGATTTCACACTGGAAAATCATTTCGAATTATATTAATGTGACACTGTTTTAAGAATTTTAGGTCCTGCATATATAACTTTAAATTGGGATTCAGCCAAACAGTCTTCCCCACCCTTGAAAGGTAACATCTGGACTTGGTGAAACGCTCATACCTGTCTCAGTTCTGAAAGTCCTTTAAGGATTGCTTGCTGTCGATCCCTATTTTTCAACAAGTTAGGATTAAGGAGTGGATCCCTAATGTGGTGGTCAGAGACTTGGTCACAATCTGAAGCAAGATAAAATTTACAAAGTCAAATTCATGCTATGGATTTGTAAAGTAAACTAACACTGATCTTCACTTATAAATTAGGTAGTATTACATACCCTGAGAATTTTGGTATTGAGGTTCCTGGGTTGAAGGCCTAGACAATGGTGCATCAGGATCAAGGTAATAGATCTCATTTGTTCGAACATAAGGAATAAAATGGGATGATTCAGACATCCCAGCTGACAATCCTGTTTGACCACCTCTTGAGATCAGATTCTCTGTTGCACAGCTACTATATTTTAGTGGTAAGTGTGATGTATTATTAGTCTGAGTTTGTTGAGTTGTGTTTTTCACTGCTGGAATTGGTGATGACTGAAACCTGTTTAAAGGGGGGGAGGTAAACCACAACAGATTAAGGATCATCGCTCCTTTAAGCCTCCTGTTTTCAAAAAGACAATTAGCTAGTTCATGCACAGTTATAAAACCATCCCTTTCCAGCTAAAATGCCATCCTTATTCCTTAAACCTCTGCCTTTCCCTATATATATAGATTGACACAGAAGTAGGCATGGAAAATAACCCACATACCTTTCCTTGTTCAATGAATGCATGGAAAATAACCCACATACCTTTCCTTGTTCAATGAATGAATTTTCAGAGATTCTTCTTCCTGAAAGATGGACACATTTTGTGAACAACACATAATGGTAATGTCCATGGACTTTTATATAAACGAATAAAGAACCATCCATCTACAGAAGTCGAGTGTAAATAACTTCTATAAAGAGGTAGGTAGCAATTTTCAGCTTTTGAGCCATGTGGTCTTTGGTGCAGCATAAAGCCAACGATAATTCACAAAAAATAAGCATGGCTGTTGTTCCTATAAAACTTATTTACAAATTTACATATTATTCTTTGTCAAAACATACTGCTGGGGAACTGTTTTAAATTTTAGAAACATTGATACATGCTTAAAAATATAAAATGTTTTTACCTTTTTGACTAGATGCCACCTGCTCTGTGATTCAGTTTCTTGTTGAGATGAATGAACTTCTGATGAAGTGCCTCTATTTTGAGAGAGGTGTTCAGGATTATTTCTCTCTACCAAATGAAGCAGTTCCATCTGCCTCCTTACCTTTTTTTCTTCTCTCTGCCTTTGAAGCTGTATGGGATACTTTTCTGATGCTGGAACATACCTTTTGAGAGGCTTATTTAAATTCCATTCAGGCTTTCTAGGACACCTCTTCATGTGTTTTGTTTGTTTCTCTGGTTTTATAAATTCATTGCATAAACTGTTTTCTTTTTCTAAGTTGGCATTTTTCTTACTTAATTCTTGCTTGTCTGTCTTAAATTGTCCATTAAGTTCTACAGAAATCTCAGGAGATGAACAATTTGTGATTTCTCTTTCCTTTACATATTCACAGTATGACTCTGCATTGGCAAATATGCCTGTAGTTAAGTCATCTATTAAAAAAAATTGAAATTATGACATACCAAAATTCATCACTTTATGAACAATTTTCTTATTTACTACCCCCTAAAACTTTTGGAAAAAGTAGACAACCACTGGCAACCACCATTCTACTTGTGTTTATATAAATTTACTTATGTAATACACTCACTTGTCATTTTGTGACTTGCCACTTAAAGTCCTCAAAGTTCATCATGTTGTGTGGTATGTTCTTTCCTGATGCTGTATTAATAAATATTCTATGGTGTGACTGCATTTTGTTCATCTGTGCATACATGCACATGTTTCCTTTTTGGCTATTATAAATAACAGTGGTCTTTTTTGGGAACGGGGTGTATAACCAGAAATGCAATTGCTGGAGGGCAATTCTTTTTAGTTGTAGGCGGACACATCTTTATTTATGTGGTGCTGAGGATCAAACCCAGAGCCTCAAGCATGCTAGTGCTCTACCACTGAGCCACAACCGTAGCCTATTTTTTAACCATTAATAGATTACAGTGGCGCCAATCATACCCATGATGTAGTTAATTAGTCTGGTATATTGAAGTAGGGTCCAACAGATAATAATAACAGCTAAATGGCCAGCCAAGTTGGTTGGATCTTGGGATCTGTAAGAATCACAAGTAATGATAGGAAGATCCTCTGGTACCTAGAGTTCAAAAAGTGAAATAGTAATGGCTTCCTACAAGTTTTTAATAAAGTAGCATGTGCCTGTTCATCCCACTTACTGAGAAGGCTGAAGATTACTTGAGTCCAAGATTCCCAAGACCAGACTGGGTAACACAGTGAAACAAATACCAGCATATGAAAATATGCTCAATATCAACCACTTTACAACCACTAAAATAAACTACCACACTGTTCTCCAAAGCAACTAACAGTACCATGTTAGGTTCTCACCAGTGGTTATTTTAGTGAACAGTTTGGTAGTTTTTCAAAATGCTCATTAATTTCTCCTCTTTCCCAAGAGAACTGAAACATATTCACACAAAAACTTTGGCTGGTGACAGTAGCACACACCTGTAAGCCCTGCAACTTGGGAGGCTTAGGCAGGAGGATCACAAGTTCAAGACCATACTCAGTAACTTAAAAGACCCTGTCTCAAAAAAAAAAAAAAAAACGAGGGATGTAACTCAATAGTAAAGTGCCCCCAGGGTCAATCCCCAGTACAAAATAATCTTGTACGTGAATGTTCATAATAGCATACTTATAAACCCAGAGTCCATCAAATCATGAAGGAACAAGCAAAATGTATTTATTTTCACACAATGGAACAATATTCATCAACAAAAAGGAATATTGTAAGTACTACAATATTGATGAACCTTAAAAGACATGAAATGTCCAGAAGAGGCAAATATTCCAAGACAGAATGCAAACTGGAGGAGAGAGGAAATGGGTTGAGAGTTAATGGGTTACTAGGTTTCAGTCATGAAAAGGTTCTAAAATTGATTGGGTACTGGCTACATAACTATAAATACACTAGAAAACACTCATGGACATCTCTCAATAAAGCTATTATAAAAATCTCTAATTTTTAAACTTTAAATAGAACTTACTGGTAATATTTAACAAATGAAAATTTTATATACCTGTCTGCACACCAGTATCCTTCCTAGGAGAAGTCGTAGAATTGATACATGAGTTCATTTTACCACTGGCTTCCTCAGAGTCATGTCTTGAATTTGAAATGTTAGTGGATGCATTATAGTCCATTTGTATTGTATCAACTGGCAAAAAGAAAGAAATTATCTTAAAATGATACTTAAGGGATATTAAAAAAATTTATGTACTGGAGAAAACTCAGTGGTAAGAGAGTGCTTGAATAGCAGACTAGAGGCCCCGGTTTAAATCTCCAGCACCAACAACAAAAAAGTAATTATGTATATAGCACAGCAGTACACACACAACTTTTAGCTTAAATCAGAATGAATGCTGCAATAAAGATTTAGAAAGGCTAGCCTAAATTTTATATAATTTTATAAAGTTTTACTTGTATTCTAATCCTTAAATTAATTTAGGGAAATCACAGTTGTTTTCTTTGTAATCATGGGTTCAAAAGTACACATTTGACCTCTGTCACAGCATCACTGTAAACAACACAGAAGAAATTGTGAAGGGCCAGTGATCCAGCTCAGTGGTAGAATGTGTACCTAACATGCACTAGCTGTGGGTTTGATCCCAATATTGCAAAAGAGGGAACAACAACAACAAAAGTATGTGAAAGCTTTAGTTCTACTTGTAATTTTCAAATATGCATTCCTATTTATAAAGTTACGATTAGCAAGTATTTAAAAATCATCTTAAAAAAAAAAAAGGTAAAATTCTGATTAATCACTTACCACCAAGATTTTTCATCAATCTAGAAGTGTCATGTCCCTTTTGAGCCAATTCTCGGATTCTCTGTTCTTGTTTTAGTCTGTGTGCCAATTCCTGTGCTCTCTGCATTGTTTGGAATAGCTCATTCGTCTTGAGAGTCATGATTTCCTATTGATATTGACGTAAAGTTCTTAAATAAAATTATCAATCTTGTAAAAATTATTCTCTCAGTTAATATATTTCCTAAGCTTTTTACATGTCAGATACTGGTCTGGACACTGGAAGTAGAAGAGTGAAAGGCAAAGTTCTGCCTTTTTTGAGCTTATATAAAAATATAAAAACTT